AAGAAGAGCAGAAAATTTAATTCGGGCTCAGCACAGTGGATCAGAAGATGTTTTTTTTTTTTTTTTTATATTATATAGAGTTTTATTTTATTTGGGTGAGAACTTGTCAGATACATATTCTGTCTTTGAGACAATGACCAACAACTAAGTTCACCAAGTTGTTAACATTAATGTTAGGGTAATTTTAGTGCGCAACTACATTTTTAAATACATTTTTCTTCTGTTAAATATTTATCAAAAAGACAGGAGAAATCAATCTAAAATAATGTCGTTCTTCAAATGAAACTTTCATCTCCCAAGCCTGGTAATCTAACTGTCGATACAGCCTAATTTATGTTAAAATAGAATTTAATTTTCACTTTTGTTACATTGAAAGTTGTTTATAAGGTAAACATTAAATTGCAATTAGAAAATGTTTTCATTGTTATTTTAGAGTAACATAAACTTCTTTTATTTAAAGTTTTAGCTATTTTAAACAATAAATTAGCACAGTAACAGTGTGAGAATGCTTTAAATGCGATTTTTTGCCCAAAGAGAAATTTCTTAATTTTTTTTTAAATAAGTGTCTGCAGTTTCGCTCGGGCGTTTCGATCTAGACAGACTGACGACAGACTGACGAGGAAGTGAGTTAAAAGCTTGTAAAAAAGACTCACTTAATGTCAAGAATGGGTTGAGGAAATCGCTTCGAGAAAATAGATTTTAAGTTAGTTCTTCTTCGTTCTTAATTTTTAGTGTTGAAATGGTAGAGAGAGTTTGAACTCGAGACTTTTTCGAAATTATGAACCATGAGCATTTGCAGACTCCATCCACGCCTCCATCACAATTAGGGTTTTGCGCCATTGAGGCCATTGACTCCGATTTCAGCCTGCTTTTCTTTTTGGATTTCCTTCAAGGCAGCAGTTGTTTGATTTTTGAGTTGTCTCTCCTAGAAGAGTGGCTGTCCCCAGCTAACGAGCCTCATCTGCCCGATAAAATGATAAAAAATATTTGTTTTAAAAGAAAGATAATCGGCTCTTGGGAGTCACCCATAAATGACGTCACGCTTTTTTTGACGATTTTTACCTCCCCCCCTCCCCTCCGTCATACGTCGTCACAAAAAGCCAGACCCCCCCCCCCCTCTAAAATGACGTCACACCTCAGCCTACAAACCCCTCAAAATTGCTGTTGAATTTTGCTTAAAACATCGATATTTTGATCAATTCCTAGTTATTAAAAACGCTATCTAAAACGCAAAATAACGGCTAAAACTCGTTTTCTAACATTGCTTTTTTATAATGCAAAAAAGTGACGTCGCACCAGCTGAACACCCCCCTCCCCCTCATCACACACCATCACAAAATTACGGACCCCCCTCCCCCCTACGAGTGTGAAGTCATTTATGGACGACCCCTTGGGTAATATTTTTAACTTTATAATGTTGCATAATAGAATATAATATGTTAAACTGGGGAAGAACAAAAGAGAAGAATACAAGTACCACTTTAGAGTAATATTACAAGCAAATCTGCAACCTAAAAATGCACCAGAACATCCGGGTTAAAAGTGGCTGTCGAGCTAAAAAGTGCCTCTGGTTACGTACGCCGAATCGAGATGGGAATTAATCCTGTTTGTGTACTTGTTTTTTTTTTCAAAACAGTGGCGTATTGTTTACAAGAGGACGCCTTGAATGCAGGTAGTAAAGGTAAGCGTTTTATCGAGAGCTACATGACATAGCGGGAACACAGACTGCACAAGGTCTACGTGTGTGTTTGTCGTCAACTACATTCACTTGATAGAGATTTCAATAGGTAAATTAACTACAGGTGAATAATGTAGAAAAAAACAACTTAAGTTCAACCTATCCCACCTCCTGCAGACTCATGAAATAAGATGGTGTGATCTAGTGAGTATTTCTTCACTACCTAAATTGATTGTTCCCTTGTTACAAGACTCAATAGCTGCTTCAAAGCGTTGGTGATTGATTTAATAGCAAAATAGAAGTCCACACACATATAAATTCTTTTATAAAAGTGGAGCTTTTGTAACAGGAGAATTACAGAAGGAATTACAGAATTTTCCAGCTGCTTCAATATTTCCCTTCCCTCCCCCGTAAAAGATAATTAGGTTGGTTGCTAAGCGACATCGTGATGGCTCATAGATAACCCCAGACATAAATGTTTCATTGTCTCTGTCAATGTTTGTCTCTGTCAATGCTTCGTTGACTATGACAGTGATTCGTAGTTTGCGTTTGATTGTCTCTTTGATTGGGTCATACACGGTATCCATCGGACACTAAACAGCTTGTCTTTTTATTCGCCCATAATTCACGCACACACGCATACACACACACACACACACTATGGCGCTTTCGTTCGATATAGGCACAATGGGTAACAATAATCGTTGACTATATCGAATCAAGCGCGTCCTTAGGCGCCCCGCATGGTACTATTCGATCCCCGGGCTTTCTCGTTAGCGCTATGTTGCATACATTCGTTTTGAAGAATGCGATAGAATATGCATAAGATGTGATATTATAGTCGTTCACTAAATTGAATCAGATGCATTTGCCGGCGCCCCGTCAGAGTGTTATTTGACGCCCCGAGCTATTCTGTTAGCACTATGGCGCCTACGTTAGTATTAACGAACACCCTACAATATTGATCCAGTGGCACACGAGCCAGGAGCCGTACGCGGCGCCCCTGCCGTTTACAGTTAACATCATACACCACCTCTTGTTTACAGTTAACATCATACACCACCTCTTGTTTACAGTTAACATCATACATCGCCTCATGTTGTTTACAGTTAACATCACACATCACCTCTTGTTTACAGTTAACATCATACACACCACCTCTTGTTTACAGTTAACATCATACACGAACTCTTGTTGTTTACAGTTAACATCATACACATGACCTCTTGTTTACAGTTAACATCATACATCACCTCTTGCAGGGGCGTAACGAGGGGGAGGCGGGGGGTGTGGACCGCACCGGGTGACACCATTTAGGGGGGTGACACCAAGGCAAAAAATAGCAAAATATATAGAGAAAAACTCGAGGGGGGCGGTTTGCAAATCGAAAGTTTGAGGGGGGGGGGGGGGGTGCGAATCGAAAACTTGAGGGGGGGGGGGTGCAAAAAGAAAGTTTGAGGGAGGGGTGCAAATCGAAAATTTGAAAGTTTGTCCCTGGGGGGGGGGGGTGACACCATTAAGTGCCACACCGGGTGACACCCGACCTCGCTACGCCACTGACCTCTTGTTTACAGTTAACATCATACACCACCTCTTGTTGTTTACAGTTAACATCATACATCACCTATTGTTTACAGTTAACATCATAAACCAGCTGTTGTTTACAGTTAACATCATACATCACTTCTTGTTTACAGTTAACAATTTAGTGAACGATTACCATATAAATAACTTCAGACACAATTAGAATTTTTGTGAATGGTGGTACATTTGTGTTTTTAATTTTGTTTCATGGACATGCCAACAATTATCACTGTAAGTTTGAAAAATGAAAATTGTTTCAGCTTAGTAAACGACTATAGCACTCCAACTTATTCATAGTCTTTTGCACTCACTTAAACGAACGCGGGAGCCATAGCAAAGACGGGAAGGCATCGTTCTTTCTTATCCATACGACTAAGTCTATCACACTGTTTAAAACGAAATTATGCACCATAGCGCTCACAGGATAGTCCAGGGCGCCAAGCCGAACCCTGCCGGGGCGCCTTGGACGCGCCTGTTACAATTTAGTGAACGATTACCATACCCCAAGCTTATTCTGCAAACGGAATGAAGTAAACATAGAAGACACTTAGGAGCTGGCCTCTAAACTTTTATTGATTTTTAAAAATATTTGCGGTGTAAAGCAATGTCATCTGATGGAAACTTTGACGCTATAAAACATAAACATAGCTCTTAAAAAGAATTTTTTTCTTCGATCTTGCCTTTACAATAAAAAACGTAGTAAAATTTTATACTGCTCAATGTACTGCTAAAACGTCTGCTTAAAAAAACTTAAGCCCTATGGTGAGGTAAAAAAAAAAAAGGCGACGTTCAATCGTTCATCCTGTTTGGTGCGACAGACAAAAACGAAAAAAAGAATTGAAAAAAAATATGTAAATATTGGATTGTTAAAACGCATTCAAAAGAGGAGTTCCCTATATCTCTCTTATTAAAATAATTACTTTTGTAAAATTTTAATCACTAAATAATTTTGCTTTATAAATATATTTTAATTAATCCACAAAATTAATGGTTTTTACCAAAAATAGCATTTTAAAATGTGATTGTCTAGATTTATTCATGCTCTAATGGCCAACACATTATGGTCCATGTTCTAATTCTCTAAACAAGTAGGATCTGATTACTATACTGTGTCATTTTTAAAAATAATTTATAGTTCTTTGATTAGTTATTTAAAGACATTGACCAACCTGTGACAGTGCCAGAAATGCTAAGAACAATGACTTTAGTGAAACCAACATGCATAGCTACAGAGCACTCTACTTTATCTGTGCCATTATTTGATGTAAGGCATAAAGAAGAAAATAATCATATTTCACAAAATATTCATGGATTGACTGAGCATGTGTTAATGTGATATAGTCTTTTTCAGTATGTATTTATACTTATTAATCTGCTTGATATTTTGTATATTTCAAAGTGTATTATATAGTTCAGGGGTCTCCAAACTTTTCAGTCCAAGGACTGCATTAAATATCAAATTTCAGTTCGGGGGCCAGTTTCTTCCAGGCATGTCTTTGATTTTTCTGGGCAAAGTTCCTCAGCCATCACCAACAAAGTTTTTTCCGTGAACAAAATGATCTACGCGGACTGGATGAGAGGGCCTTGCGGGCCGGATGCGGCCCGCAGGCCGTAGTTTGGAGACCCCTGATAGTTTATAACTATTTTAGATAAGCACAAGCTAGATGGCAACTGAACATCATTGTTACTCCATTTTTATATTAAAATAAACACAAACTCCTATTTTAGGTATCAGGATAGTTTTCATAAACAATTAACTCCAATTGACCAACAACCGAAACATAGCAAGGCAGAAACAAATTTCAGTAACACCAGCAGTCTGAAGTTACCCACTAAAACTATTCATAACAAAAAGAAAGATTTTGATCCTCCAGTATGGATGAAGAAGAAGCAAAGTCACTCTACTTCATGCTTTACAAGTTTAAACAATGAAGGCACAAGTAAAGCAGAATTAACAGACTTTAGTCATAGGTAACTAGTTTTGATAAACTATTCAAAATAAATGCATATCTTGTGAAATGTGGTGTAGGTAGTAAATTATCAATAGGTGGTATCATAAACTGGGACTATGCATACTTGGTACTACAAATGATTCTAAATTTTTTAATCAAGTTAATTACAAGCTTTTAGTTAGTTCACAACATCTGTTTGTGGCTAATCTTGTAACTCAATTAGGACCAACTTCTAATGCAGCGATTTTGTTCACTTTTTTCAGATACTTTCTTCAAGGGCAAGTGAAGTAGAGTTCACATGTTTCTGTGACCTCGGCATATGAAGAGATAGTGTGGTCAGCACTATGCCCAGCCGCCTTTACTTTCCCTAACGTGAGTTAGGTACCCATCAGAGTTGGGTGGACTCAGGGACGGTCTACTGACTTGAACCTGGATTCGAACTTGAGACTTACGGGTTAGCAGTCCAGCTCTCTACCGCTAGATCACTCCGTCCCACTTGTTAAATTGCTATATTCAATAACGGAATGGGAGATAACTAGCTAGACACGATCACCCAATGAACTGAGCTGTGGTTCATGCTGAATGTTGTTTGGCCACAGTTGGTTGCCTGAGTGTAGACCATGTAGGGGCAGACAACTGTCTTTCTAGAGATTGCAAACTAGTAGTTGGGTTTTTACACTTTGGTCCTTCATGATATCTCATACAAATTTTAGCAATCAAAGTTTGTTTTGTTTTCTTATTTTCACTGCATTTAAAAGCTTGTTATTAAAAAGGTTTTTATATGTTGTTTTTTTTTAACAAATACTATCATTAAATAAACAGATTGTATAAAAAGGTGAAATAATCATTTTTCACTTTTGTGCAGATCTATGAAAACAGTATACTTTATGTCAGAAAAAGAAGTAATGGAAATGTCACTTGATATTCTTAAACAGGTTGGTAATAACATATAAACATTTATCAAAACAGCTCAGTCACTAACTAAAATAACTTATAAAACATCTTTTTGTATATTGAGTTGAATAAATTTGTTTTTTTTTATTCTTCAACAGCATGGCCAAGACAAGTAAATTGTAACAATCTGTGGATTCTTAAAACTTGCTGGTATTTTGCAAATATTGTACAAATGTAAAACTTCATGAAACAATTGTTATAGAATCAGTTTTACAGTAATCAAGCAATAAAAACTGAAACACATTTTTTTGTCCTCATCTTTTATCAAAATATCTCACAATGTACAACAAAAGTGGTCAATATATATAAATTATACATTCTCACATACACAATTTTACTCTTGTTCCATTTAATAGAATATTTATAAATTAACAAACAAATTTATGTGTAATCTTTCCATGTGTTAGTATAAATTGAAAAGAAAGTTTATAGCCAAATATTTTGTCAATGCAATCAGCTATTTTTTTTTAAAATAATAAGCTATAGATTTTAAGGATGCTGATAGGCTGGTTATTATTCTTATACCTTTTGTGACTAGTAAGCAAAGCCTTTATTTCACAAGTATGATACACATTTGGTCTTTCAAGAGTAATTGGACCATAGGCTACAAAAAGACAATAACAACAGGCTACAAACTTAATCAGATAAGCCCACCCTAACCTCTTTAAAAAACCTAGAGATTGAAGATAGCTACTTAGTGCTTATCACTCTAAATTCTTCTTTAGATTCTGCTATTGAAGTTGTATGATTTTTAGTTGTTTTTTTTTTAAATTGAATAAGTTATATTGTGTGCACCTAACATTTACTTTATGGCAGACTATTTAGAATTCATAGTTTTTAAGTGGAGGTCAAGGATATTTAGTTGCATCTCTTGAAATTTTTCAGGCCCATGTGACAACCTCCATCTATTTTAGAACAGAAGCTGACCTGAGTTTTTTGCCTTAGTAGTTTAAAACACTAGAAAATTACTCTATGGGAAGTGAAGGTTCAACTAGTCCCTAACAGTTTTTTAACGTAGACACCAGTGTAACATGTTATAGACAAGAGCGAATGAAATCAATATATAAAAAGCTAATGGTAGTCATTTATTTCCCCTAACGTCTGCTTCTTTAAAATTCAAAGAAACACCTCTGTTTATTATAACTAACTGTAAGTGCTTTTAAATGAATTAGAAACAAGTTTATATACATATTTATATTACATATAAGTATACATCCCATGGTTTTGAGGATGAAATGTAGAAATAAAAATTGTTTTATAGATAATGATTGTAGTATGACTTATTTATAAAGTTGTTGAACCTCCACACTGTTATAAGCTAGTGTTTACAATTATGTTTCTCATTGAAAAACTAAATTAAACTCATTCAAATAAATAAATAATCTTAATTTACACTTTCAAATGCAGCTGAAGTAAAAATCTTTTTAATTTATGACTTTTTAAACAGCGAGTATTTCTTAAAAACAGGTTCATAAAAAGTTTTAAAATTAAAATATAATTTTTTAAAACTAAAATTATAAATTTGCTCTTTTTGGAATTTATATGTATTAGTATTAGTATTGATAAACAAGAAAATAACCCATCCAAAGTATTTATTAGCAAGGGCAAGTGTAAAAAATTTAGTCATGAATATCTATCTAATAAAAACATAAGATAACAGAATTATTTGAAAAAAGTTTACTTAAAATTTGCCCTTTCTCAGAAACATTTAAATCTGTTGGGGTGAAATTCAATACTAACATAAATTTTTTAGAATTCTTGAAAGCACAAATACTTAAAATCTCAAAACTGTACAGAATCTGAGATCAATTTTAAGTTTTAAATGTATAAATGTTAAAATTAATCACTGCTGCTGATCATATAGATAACTAAAGAACAATTTGTCTCTACCTTTTACATTATTACTATCATACTTAATATTTTCTTGTTCTATGATGTCTAACTTGTATCACTTAACATCTTCAAATGTCAATTTCTTCAAAGCTAAAATGAATAGTTCTACTAACATCCTACAACAATCATGAAAAGTAAGATCAACATCTTCCATTCATGCAGGTTTTTTAAAGTTTAAATGAAAGAATAAAAACAATACACAGAATTTCTACTACTCTGGTAGTGAAAGTTCAATAATATTTATGTTTCACGTGTATTAAGCACATCTATTTTTCTTTTCAACACTCTGTTTGATTTAAGCTGCCAGTATTCAAATACATTATCAAAGAAATCATTCAAACACAACCACAAGATGCAGAGTGATTAAAAAGAATAGTATATATGAAAATGAATTTTGTGCAGAAGATTATTTTAAAAGCTGACTAATAAAATAGAATAGCGCAGTCACTTTACTATTTTTCCATCAATGCATGCTCAAGGTTTGAATTTTTAAGTCATGTTTTTGTCAATAAGATTTAACAATTTTAGTTTTATTTGCTTTTAAATTATTGTTTACACCTGAAAAATCTTAACACTGAACTAAAAAAAGTATACTTTTAACTCCCTAACAGCAAATCTTTTTTGATGTTCTACAAAATGCAGTCACAACATAATAGAAAGTATTTTGTCATAATTACCCTAGATAGATAGTTTAATTTAATCTTAAAACGTTGTTACATATTCACTGCAGAAGCTTCTGTGTTAATATTTCATAGACCATTCGTTTTCTGAAGTATGGCATATCCTCCTGAAAAATTACCGGATTACATTTATAACAAAGTTCAATGTTTAAATATTTTAAGTTATTTTTTGAAATATAAAATGTTTACCTGAGTAAATGTAATTGGTTTGTCTCTTGTGATGTATTCGGCATATTTGCACATGAACATTCCACAGTCACCTCCATTCATTTGATGTGGGTTGTTCTATTAAACAAAAATACTAATTTCTTAAAATTTGTATTAATTTTATAAGAGAAAATACCTAAAAAACCAGATTTTATATACAAAAACAAGGTAAGATGATTTACACATTTTAGTTACCTCCGCATGTTGTGCTTTCCATTCTTTTTCGACTAGAGGTGTCTGATTCTTGGCAATTCTTTCATCTTTCAGATAGTTGCTGCAAAATTTTCATAATTGACATTTATTACTTGTTATAGGATAAAAAAAATATAAATACATTTTTTAAAATTATTTAATTCAATTTGTAGTATTATTTAATTTTTTTTAGCTATTTAAATAGTTTACCAAAAATTGTTACTAGTCAGAGAAAGGTACTTACAAAACCGCTTTAAGGCAACTGTTGTTTTTTCCACCCATTGAATCATAATATGTAATGCTTTTTTCTTTTATATTAACCATCTATGAAATGAAAACATAAGTGTGGTGTGTGGTTAAATATTCCATTAACACAAACTGAATAGTTGCAACATAATAAAATCAGTGAAATAAATACCTACACATAAACACCAATGCATTCCTAAATGAACAGGTATAATAATATGTTTCATGTCAAAGATGTCCACTTTCTTTGTCCACCTTTTAACAGCCTGGTGTCCACCTGACATGATCTTTGGGTAAAAAAAAGTATTGAAGGCATAGGCTTTAATATTTGTTTCCTCGCCTCTCTTCATCAGCATATTCATATAGAAGTTAATAACCTGGAAAAGAAGAGTTAAGGATAGATAAATCATGTGTGGTGTCATAAGGACAATTAGCAGCTAAAAGGTTCATACTTAGGTATTCTCTTTTACAGATTTTTTAATATATGGTTATATATTTATGACAAGAGAATAAAGTTTTCTGGCATTTTTGTACTTAGAGTATTGCTAATATTATATAATAAAATGGTGTAAGCTCTTTAGGTTTAGTTTAAGTTATAAAGTACATTTTAAAACAACTAACCTCATCATTAAGCCAATTTATATCCTTTAAAGTTAAAATATCTCTTCTTGTTATTTGCAAACCAAATCCCTTTGCCAGTACTTCATTTGGATTGCCACGAAAAGCAGATGTAACTACATTTTGCATTTCATTGGTGAATTCTAGAGATATAAGAACATTTATATTTTTTTAAAATTTATAATAATCATGACTGAGCATTGTGAATGCTATGGTAGAAATTAATTGCAACTGTAGGTAAATGTGTAATTAGGTAAAGTACAAACAGATAAAAACCTACTTTACAAGCCAGTTTTGAGTATTGTAATGTAATATAAATACAACACACCTGGAAGTGCTTCTTCTTCTTCTTCATCCTCTTTAAATATTTCTTCTGAAATGCTGGGCTCTTCATCAAAGATTCTCATTTGATATTTCAACTAAAAAATGTTTGATAAAACATGTATAAATTGTCATTTTTTATCTATAAAAACTTAACTGTGACGAGTTGAAAAAAGAAAATAGCATTAGGAACTCACTCTCTTTTCTAGACCCATTTCTTGTGCACGTCTCTGTGGAAAAAAAAACAGTTTAAATAAAACATTATTATATTTCTCAATAGTTCAATGAGTTTTAATATTAAAATTTTCTATCAGTTTTACATAAAATGTTTAAATAAAATATTCATTAGGTAATTTGTATACCAAGTTACGATTTTCCTTTTTTTAAAAACTTTTTGTAGTGAACTGTATTAGATTAAATGAACAGGGTGACAAACCTTCTTATATATTCCTGATTTATATGTTTTGTAATATGGCAAAAGGTTTATCAGTTGGATAAAAAAGCTACAAGTTTTAAACATTTTCAGAACTCAATATTTGCTAAATTAGAACAGCAAACATTACCTTCTCAGCATAAGCTTTAGCCTTGCACTCCTCCTCTTCAATCAACCGTTTTCTCCTTTCCTGTTCCTCTTTTCTAGACTTTATTCTACAAACAAAATATTTTGTATATATATATAAATGCTTTATATGGATTTTAACAACTATTCTTTCCACAAGAAAAAAAATCTAAAATGCCAACAGACCAGCAAGCATCTAAAGTGAAGCGAGACAAATAACTCATTTACCTTTCTTCTATCTCTTTATCATTGAAAAATTTAGACTGGAGAAAGCTTCTTCTCGAACTGAAAATAAATTCACAAAACCATTTTAATTTGAAATAAGAGCTCTTTAATGACATTTTTTAAGTTACTACTTTTTTCCAAAATAATAATTACAGACATCAGATCTCGCCTGTTGGGGCAGTAAAAGTTAAGTATGAAGGGAGTTGAATCCCCTACAAAAAAAAATGTTTAAGTACTGAGTTACAGTTAATTCCTTTACTGGAAAAGATAGTGTTTAACGCGTGCTTACCTGTCAGCTGTCTGTTTAATTAAATCTGGTAAATACAAAAAAAAACTTTAGTTAACTAAATGATAACGACAAAAAGTGACTTTTTTCAACTTTCAATTCTAATTTAAGTTGTTATATTTTTCAACTGAAATAAAAGCATTTAACAAAAAATAAATTAAGCTGTTATTTAAAAAAAAAAGTATTTATTTTTGTATGCTTGCAATTTTTAACATCTAATTATTTTTAAAAAATGTTTATTTATTATTATTAATTACCATTATTTATTTTTCAACTTTTATATTTTTACCTGGATCCTGTTTAATTTCCACAGCAGGAGTCTCTTCAATGATAATACAGTCATCTGTTGTTGAACTGGATGTATGTGACTCTTTTGGTTTATTCTGTACACCTGAAACGTCTCTAAGTCCACTTCTCTGTAACGTGGAAAATCCAGCATTTTTTCGCTGAAGGGCAATTAATGCTGACAGTGATGACCGACTTAAACTTTGGTTATCCTGTAATTTAGTTTCCTGCCTAATGAGATTAAAGTGAAAAGTTCACATAAAAATGGTTGTTCTAACCTTACATATCTGAATAAAGAAAGCTATTTAAAGTAGAATCTACATGCAGCATTTTAGCAGTTTAAAAATACCTTGGCGTTGAAGTAGAAATATGAGATGAGTTTGCTTCCTGTGGGATGGTTTTGGTTGAAAACAAAGTTTTAACTGGCCAATTGGGCTGACAATGAAGCTGAAGCAGTTTTTGATATTCCTCTTTTTCTTTTAGACGAATACACTGAAATATAGAGAATTTTAAATTGTATTTTATAACAAAGCAAAATCAGTTATAAAAATTATGTATTTACAGTGGTTATTAAATTTTTTAATTCTAAGAAAAAAATAAAATTTTACCTATCAACAACTTACCTTACATGCTTCAGACTCCTTGTTATTTTTGAAAATGGAACTATTGATTGTGCGTTGCATCATTGGTTTGGGTTGATAACCTGTCTGTTTTAATTCTCCATTGTTAGATGGCCCTATTGATTACCATTTGCACTTGTTAAATAGGCAAAAAGTAACAATAACAACTTAAATTAAAAAACAGATTTACAAAAACAACTCATTTCAAGAACTGAAATAAATGAATGTCATCTATTTAGTTTGAAAACAGTTCCAATGTTATAACTAACCTGTTTGTTGATGCAAATTATAACGGGATACTAATCTTTCATTCTGTAAATAAGAATAACAATTAATTGACCAGAATAGGAATACAATAAACAATCATCCAGCTATAATTTATAATTTACTAGCATACCCAATATGCGCTGCTGGGCACTCAAAAGAAAGGAAATGCATCATTTAAACTGGAACAACATCTAAAGAGGATTTCATAAGAATATTACCAATCATATGCTGCGTCAAAATGGCCCCATTATATAAGGTTCACATAGAGACAAAGTCTCAGGGCGAAACAGCCTAATTAATTATGACCCAGCCAGTAGATTCCCTTCATCAATACTCATCAGTTAGCTTAGCCAACACCCTTAAATAATACACTGTATGTAACTCTTGGACAGTAGACCATATTTTTACATTTTATCTAGGATAAGAAATAGTATGTTTTTAAATTTAAGTATCATCTAGGTAAGCATATCATCAATGATTTGGTTGTGGGCTATTCCAACTCAATTTATGGAACAGAGGTCCACGCTCTACATTTATCTTCAGTATGTTTGTCCTTGTAGGTTATCAAAACAAAAAAGGTTTTTGCTAGCTTTTAAGCAATAAGTCTTCATGGGGGGAGGTGAAGTGAAGGGGTTGGGGGGGGGGGGGGGGATGTTAATAAAACATTATCAAATTTAAAAAAAACTACTTGCACTTAGCTGTTAAGAGCTCAATTGTTTATGAATTGCTGTTGGTTGTAGTGGAGATGGGAAATGCATGTGGTTGGTGGAATGGACAAAACTGATACATCTATGCCAAAAGCAGTCATATGATTTATTTTTTTGGAGCCAATACCGGGAGTCATTTTATCGGAAGACTATATGTCCATTTGTTGGCAGCCAATTTTCTGGGCTATTTTGACTGTGTCCTTTTATCGGGAGTTACTTGGTGTCGTTTTGTCACGAGTGAGCATGCTTAATAAAATCAGAGTTGTTTAAATGTAAATAATGCCGGCACTTTATTTCTTGGGTCTTGATTTTTGGGGCACGTATTCGTCCACAATAATGTCCAGACGCCCTTAGGGCTCACAGGGGAGCTAGGGGCACTATTTAGATTCCTTTGCAATGGTTCTAGGATTCTGCATGCACTACTCACATCATAGATAAATGCAATAAATTTATTGGTTGCATATTTAAGCTTGAAATGTGCTTTTTTTTTCTTGACTCTAAACAAAGGCAGTAATATTGTGCAATCTTTAAAGCAAAACAAAAAGCAAAGTTAAGTAGCATTTTTGTTATGAACCTCACCGCTTTTAATCTGTCATCTCCATTTATTTGTGATGACGTACTTCCATTTGACTTTCCTTTGCCCCACCTATCAGATTCGTCAATAGCTTTTACATTAAATAGTTTTGAAAAAGAAGGGTTTGATTCCAAGAAATTAGCCATTCTTGATGCTGATTTTTTTACTGTGCTTAGGTTGAATACTGCCAAAAAGAATAACATTTTAAATTAATAACATTTTAAATTGAGCTTTAAATAGGAAACATGGCAAATTATCATTTAAAGGTTAATATCAGTAATTTTATTAAAGATGAATCACAAACAAAATGAACACTGTATTTAACACTGTTTCATATATTTTCATTTTTTATAATTTTTTAAAGTTTTACATGAAAAGAGTAATAGCTTTTATTGACATTTTACAGTACAGATTTATACCCAGTAATGTTTTTTACATAGCTAAATGGATTAAACGTTGATAAAAACATAGTTAATTTAAACATACCTATTTTCAAATATATATACTACACCAATGTAAATTTAAACATTGTATTAAATATAATATGTATTAAACTTGCTGTTTTCTAAAGTTCAAAAACAATCTAAAAGTATGTCAGGAGATTAACTCACAAGAATTTGATGAAGATTCTAAATCAATTCGTCGTTTTTTTTCAACGCTCCTTACTTGACCATCTGCAGCATCACTGCTGAAAAATGAGGATGGGTTACACACAAATATTTTGGACAAAATATCTTTTTTTTAAAATAGTAATTGGTTAAAATATTGAAATGGTTTGATGTTTGATTCAGATAATGTTGTCTTTTTCTCTGTGTAGCAAAATGTATTACATTTTGATATTTTAAATATAAAATTAAATAGCAAACAAATACAATATCAACAATATATCTAAATAAATACTTTGTTGAAACACATCTCAAACACATATTTTTAGAAAATTGAGAGTAGATACATCATTAAAATTTTCCTAGAATGTGGAATGAACGATGTTAGATAGGGACAGTTTTAGTATAACAATTTGTATTTTATTGGACACAGTTACTAATGATCCCAGAAAATTAACAGTACAAAAAAAAAAATATTTAGGCTTTTTTTTTTTTATAATTATTGTCAATATTAATCTAACTGTGAAAGGAAATTGTGATTACCCTAGAATACATAAACAGGTCTATTCCATACTAACTGATCATATTGGAAATTTCCAAAAGCTATTTATATCTCTGAGCTCCAAAGACATTAAATTTTGTTTGCAATTATTGTTCAAATTATTCACCTTACAGTGCACAAAAAGCTAATTTTTCTCTGTTGTGGAAATGCTTTCAACATAAATAATTAAATAAAAAGAACAGATACTTAGGAGTAAATGAGGGGTAAGTGGTTGGGTTACAATTTAGTTATATTGAATTGCAACAATAAAATATGTACCTATGTTTGAAAAAAAAAATCAATATTTTTTTCCTAGTTAGAATGGTTTCATGAATTCCCATATAAAGCTGGTGATGTTCGGTACCTCTAAAAAGTTTAAGAACCAATGAATTGCTCTTGTAAAGTGTTTTTAACCTGAGTTTAATTGAACCCCGGGAGTTCAATCTCAGGGGATTTGCACATATAAATCACGCTTGGCTTTTGTCAGAATGGACAGCAGAACTATTAAAAAGGGTTCAGGGAATGCGCATACTGAAATAGTGGGGTAGGCACACCAATAAGGTTAAGAACCACTGCTCTAGGTTATCTCCCATGTTTCAAATCAATTTTATAACAGATTTTACATATATACTATATACTTGACAGTACAGTCTATAAAGACCTCAATAACTAATTTCATCATTAAAGAAAATATAGAATCCAAAATCAAACAACTGCTGCCCTGTAGTTTGTTCTTGGATGGGCAAAGGCTATGGAAGCAAATCTAGATAGAAACAGAGTATTTGGACAATACGGACACATAAAAAGTCGACATATAATAATTGTGTTGGCGGAAATCCATCCAACATTGCAATTAAAAACAAAGAAGAAGATAGACTAGCAGTGTTTTCATTCACTCCAGTTGAGTTAGGACCTCCCTGCTACGAGACAAAAATATAATTTAACACTAGGTCCAACCTTTGTGTGGGTCAGAGACAGGGGTCACTTCTGTTCTGCACCCAGGCTAATGTATATTACATAGGTACCAGTGACAGACTATACTCTTCTATAGATAGGTGTTGAGTTGCTAATATTAGATGTTGTATTAGTGTCCAAAATAAGGTTAGGACTATAATAGTACTTGGTTAGGGTTAACGATACCAGCAAGTTAATTTAGTTTAGTACCAGTAACAAAACTGGTCTAAGACATTAACCTTGTCAATTACTCCCCCCTCCCATCCATGTTGAAGAACCCTGACACTAAACCCAAACCTATAGCTAGATCTGTACAATATAATAGCATGAACTGTGACCTGGCTTCTTTCCCCCTCTCCCACCAAGCAGTATCAAACACATACTCTGGGTCACATTGAGTTCACATAAGTTTGGACATCAAGTGATTTGTTATTACAAAGAGGGGCGGGTTAGTCTAGCCTTAATCATCAGCATTTGCTAATATTTAAAAATTAATTTGAATTTCCTAAATGAAATGGGTAATGGTAGAGGTGGTTCACTTTTCTAAATTTGTGACTTTCCAGACTGTGGTATTATCCCCCCGTTTATGATAGTAGCTGCCATCTAGCATCATGAGATGGGTTACTATAACTATAGACGTCAAGAGCTTTTACACTTCCTAAAATACGACTATTAAACAGCAGTATGCAATCTATTATCAATGGTTCTCAGATGTGGAAGGTAACCCAAACAAATAACAAACTTCTGACTTTCTTGCCTGTGTTGTATATTGAACACCAATACCGAACTGTGGAGAAAAACTGGACAAAACCCTATTAGTAAAGATGTACAAAAGTGCAAGTGGGGTTGGTTGGATACACACTGCATCATGGTCAGACTGAAATCCCCAAGGAAAGAAGGTAGGCCAAACAAACTTGGAAGAGATCAGTTGTTAGTGAAGCTGAAGCAGCTGGAACAAGAATGTTGTGGACCCAACTTGGAGGAATAGCCCAAAATGAAGGGAGGAAAGATAACATGCAACTTCAGCTCTCAGAAGAAGGATGTAGCGCCATCTAGCGCCGCATCTAGTGCATCTAGCCATCTAGATCTAAGTTTTATTAGTCACTGACTCATTGGTCAGCTGCTAGTAGCTTGAGTTTTGTTTACTTACAATTAAGTTACAATACAATAGGCCTAACCTAATGTCATTTTATTTTTATTGACTGTCAATAGGCCTATTCAATATGAATTTTTCAGTCTCACCAATTTATTTAATATTTTATTATTTATTTTTAATATTTTTTATGACTGCACCAAACTAGATCTAGATCTAGTAAACTACCAAACTAGTTCAGTTTTAGCCTAAAATTTAGTGGTTGGTAATCAATTGATGAATTAACTCATTGTGCAGGTTAATTAAATCAAAATGTAGCCAAATGTACTATTTAGAATTTATTTTTTTATTGAGACAACCTAGATTCCAAGAATCTATTTTCTAAATTGAAAATAAATACCCTATTATCGATAATTGGTAACGAGGATACAAAAACGTACTCACTTTTCTTCAAATTTACGCTTTCTTTTATATCCAAACTGAGGTTCGGTGTGGTCATTCGATGAATAGTTAAATAAAGTACGGAGAGCTTCCGTAAGGGATTTAAACATTGGTAATATTTTTGTTCTCGGTTAGAAATACTACGAGTGCATAGCAGTAAGCGCCAAGTGTAGAAGCTTTGATAATATGTAACAAAACTTCATTAAACAAGAGCTCAGAGTTATGTCAAAGGTTATATTTTTTTTTAAGATAGCAGGTCTACGTCTATTTATAGAATACAGTTTTGCCAGATGGGTGCATTGCTTTCCTTGTCATGCTTTATATTTGAGTAGCTATTTGTATTTATATAGATCTAAATATTATTCCATACTGATACTTGGGGAAGTGTACTTCACATATTTTGAAATTATAATATCACTACACGAATATAATTAAAAATAATTTTGTTTATTTGTTAAGGTTTTATATCAAGAAAACAATACATACGATTTGGCTACTAATTATCTTTTTGTTGCCTCTTTTAAATTTGCACGGCACAGAAGTAAAATCTGTTTGATTTTTTCGTGAAATATTTAATTTAATATGTGATGATTTCACTCATCATTACAGGATTTAAAAAATAACCGGTATCATTCGTGGTCAAAATTATAGACAAGTTCTAGATATATATTTTAAATGTATGTGCGGTGTAAAATTGGCATTTTGAAAACATTATTTTAAATTCTGGCAACGCAGGCTAGCTAAAGGTTGAGAAAGTAAATAATAAATAAACAACAATTAACCTAAGGGCGAATGTTTACTACTGGTTAGATCTAGATCTAGATACATTTTTTAAACAAAGTTTGCAAACAAGCAGGAAAATCGGGTCTAAATTTCTAAAATGAATATTATTAGTACTCTGGGAAAAGCCACTTTTATAGACTTTGGTATTCAGTGGATTTGTTGGGCAATAGCAGCTTCATTAAAAACAGAAAAGTTTTATGACTTGGCAGGTAAAACTATTTTTTTTTTTACTTTCAATTACTTTGTATTATCAATTATCGTTTACACTTTTAAAAGTAGATAATGTAACTTGCTCAAAACTATGTTAACCTTGCATTGTATTTATTCTTTTTGTGACCTGATAGTAGTGATGGTGAGCTTTTTAAACGTAAGGCCTAATTAAATAATAAATTATTAATTAGGCCTATGCCTACTAATTAATTACTGCAATGTTCTCACTGCCGTCAAATGTAACGTGTTTGCTGATAAAAAAAATGCAACGGCTTTTCTCTTCTCATTTCTCAGTCACATCAAAAATTATCAAGAATAAGTTGTCTTCTGCAAATCTTTATTTCACTATCTTTCTTGACCAGGTGTTGTCTGTGTAGCGTGCATCTAAAAAGACTGGAGCACCAAAATGCGTGTTGCGTAAATTAGTGGCTAGGGCTGTCGTTTCTCCATCCCCTCTAAGGCTAAACCACCGGTTTATATACCCCACCCATGAGCGTCTCGGATGTCACCTTGCTCTCTGCACAAATTCTAGCGCTTACCTGTGAAAATTTTCCCTGCTTTTTTGCTAACCTACCCCAAATAACTATTTATAAAAACTTAACGTGATCTCCTAAAATTCTAATAAACGTATCATCTGATACCACAGACAATTCCCTTTACAACAATACAAATTACATATAACATGAATAAATTGTTCTTAAACAATAATATATCAAACATGCAACTAACGGAAAAATATCATCATACACCTAATTATTTATTATTAAAGTAGATTTCCATAATATAGGCTTGCTCCTAACTAACACTAAGATATTCTAATTAAAGAACTAGTCTAATAGTTCTTCCAATTATCATGCTATATTACCAACTATTTATTAAGCAATTTCTAATTTCTTTCTAATTAAATATATATTGATCAATTTTTATTGCAATTTTTGCACAAAAAAGTCTTTTTAAAATTGGGAATTAACAATTAAAATCCGTTTCTAACATTTGATGATTTATGCACAATCCCATAATTGTTCTTGACTTTTGATTGTACAATTTCAGTCAGCTATTCTTTTTAATGTATTACATTGCACCAAGAAGTGGCTGCGAAGTAGTATGTATTGTGTGTGATAATAGAAAATTAACAAACATTTTAACATTCACATGCATGTTTTACTGCAATTTTTTTTCTCTATAATTAGGTTCCAGCACCTACATTGTGTTAACTCTAATGAGTTTATATCCAAACAAAACCCTTCACACCAGGCAAAAAGTGAACAGCACAATGATACTTACATGGGCTACCAGGTTAATTCTTTTTTTACACTATCAAAATATTTTTGAGTCATTTTGTGCAAATTATTTGCCTATTCACTGGCAAATGTTCAGGTGATTGAATATATTTATGTCTGATAATAGACTTCCTAAAATAGGTATGTTAGGTTGCTAGAAGTATGGTTATCTCATCTAATTTTATGGATAGAAATTAGGGTTAAGCATATGATGGTAGGACCATGATTAGAGTTATCATTGTCATACACAGTTCATATATGTGTATTTAGTTAACCACCAGTAACCTAACACCCCTTTTTAAAGCAGATTCTATTATCTGACACTGGTATAAGAGATCCACCACTCACATAGAAATTAAATTTTTAAAATTCTGTTTAATTATTCGCTTCATTTATAGATCTAAATCTTTTATGACTTATCATTGTCAGGCTGTTAGTTTGATGTAGATGTTTAAGATGCTTAAGCAAGTTAAAACAGTAGTTTAGAATTAGTTACAATATATATACATTATAAATGTCAATGTGGAGAAGATAAGGTTTATTTAGCAGACCTAAAAAAATGTTTTACTAAAGAACTTACTATTGTGTAATTAATAATGTAATCAAATTATTTTTAGGCTAGGTATATTTTTATTTACAAGAATACTTAAATCAGGCAGTGACAAAAGATTTGATTCAGTAAAAACTAAGCCTGGTGTCTTCTGGATATATTGGACACTGCAAGGTTGGTTTTAGAAAAAACGTTTTCATTTAAATTTTCTGTTTATAACCAAATAATTCATAACTTAGATCTTCTTTTATCAATTATAATATTATATAAACAAAATAATAAAAGCTATTTTTATACATATTACAGGAGAATGTGATAGTGATAGCACTGATCAGTGCAAAAGTAAATGTCCAACTGTAAGATAAAATAATTCTGTTACCAACCATTAACATATAAAGTATTTTCTCTCTCCTACAGGTGTTTGGGTATTATCTACTCTACTCCCCTCATTAATAGTGAATTCAAAGAAAAATAACAGTCGCATCACCACTAAAGATTATGCAGGTTGGGGCCTGTGGGGCATAGGTTTCCTGTTGGAAGTTATTGCTGATTACCAAAAGTCTAGATTTCACAGCAACCCAGCTAACACTGTAAGATATTTGTTTAGTTCTTGTATGGTGCGTAACTACACCAAATGTATACAATAAGTCTAATTATAAAATTAATATAAAGTATAATAAATTTTTTCCTCTAACTTTTGAACTATTAAAAATTATGTTGCAGGGCAAATTCATCAATTCAGGCTTATGGAGTATATCACAGCATCCAAATTACCTTGGAGAAATATTAATGTGGACAGGTCTCTACATTTCAGCGTCCTCTACTCTTAAGGGCTGGGAACATGTTAGCATTATCTCCCCTGTACTTTTAACATTTCTCCTTACCAAAGTCAGTGGCATTCCACCTCTTGAAAAGTCAGGATTAAGGAAGTGGGGATCTGATCCAAATTACATTTCCTACATACAGACAACTGCTAAACTCATTCCATTCATATGGTGATGTTTTTAATCATGTTTTTGTTGGTGCTTTATGTGTTTTTATATGTGTGACATAACAAAATAATGTATCAGTTTGATAGAGAGAGAAGCCTCTTTTCTAAATAAAAAAAGTTTCTAGCTGTATTTTTACCACTTTCTATTGGATGAACATATAGCAGCATTAAGGTTTAAAATGTTTGTAAAAGCTAAAATGAATTAGTTAAAGCTATTTTGTAACTTACTTGAAGGTGTACTAATTTTCACACACTTTTATTTACTGGCATGCACATCCCCTGTTTGTGATTAATATATTACTTTTATTCACATACAAGTAAGATTTAATGTTTAACTAAAAGATAATTGTTACTTGAATTTTTTATTTTTGTTACTAAACTTTCATAGTAATACCATTTGAAAGCCATCCATTTGAACTTTTTTTCTTGCCTGTATATTAATTAAAAAGGAGAAATATATTCATAAAATCAACTGTTTTTTTTTTCTCTAAGTAGTAGGGACAATCTTTGTTTTGAACTGAGTACATAAAAAGTAGCCTACATAAAAATTTAATCTGCAGGTGCATAATAGAGTGCAAATAAGTTGTCAGATATGAATATAAAAAACCAATGCAGATGTACCTTCTGTTGTCAAAAGATGCCACAGACAATTATGGAAAATGGGTTATCAATTTCCACATGGTGCAAGAGCATCATGGGATCCTAAGAAAGAAATCCAATGTTTTCCTTGTCAAAATATTCGACTATGTGTAATATGTACATGATTTTTTTCTAAATAGAAATTGGTATTATGGTTGGCAAAATATTTTCCACTGAGTTTTTCTAAAACATTCCCTTGTTTAACATTAAGAATATAAGTTTCCAGCAAGTATACAGCCAGGTGAAAAGTTATGTGTTTTGAAATACATTTAGGCTACTCTTCACTCACCAAAAATATTAAAATATATGTATCAAAAGTATAAGATATTTTGTAAGTCAGAGGGCTGTACAAAGAACAATAGATTAGCATGTTTGATGTTGGTGTTGTTAAATTGTATGATGTGTTAATTAAATTCATACTGTATTTATATTGGTCATGTAAAATTTCTAAATATAAATATGCCACTTTTATATGTGAATGTACACATGTACACAAATTACTGGTTAAATAGATAAAGTTTTTATATTTTATGTAATGACCAGCATAACTTTGTTTTCCATTTAATTTTTAAGCCTTTATTTAAAGAATTATATGTGTTGTATACAGATAGATTAATAAAATCAATGTATATTTGTATTCTTTTACCATATAACCTAACATAAGTTATAATTTTATAATGGCCTACTAATACTATTTTTTAATTAACATTATTATATAATAATACTAATACTAAATAGTAGTACAAAAATGTTTCTATTTTGTTTAGATGTTGATCACTGTTCTTATTTTCATATTTCATTAGAGTAAGGGAATTAAAAGCAGTGAACATAAAAAATACTTAATTTTTGTATTTTTGTTCTTTGTCTTATTATATTCATTAATGTATTTTTAAACCCAGTGACAATTCTAAAAGAACAACAAACAGATGGTAGCTAGGACATACTAAATAAACTGTCGACTTATTATGTCACCAGACAAACGTTGAAATGTAGAGAATAAACCGTTCAAAAATACATGTGAATTTTAGCTGAGGCCTTTTATACTATATTGGACTGGGAAATAGTGTGGAAATTTGCAGGAGGCCCTTACTGACCAGCAGAAAGTAAACATCAGTAATTTCTACTAGAAAAATAAAAATTACAGGGGCAAGTTGACAATTCAATAGCTTACTGACATATTTTGATCATTTCATCAAAGCTCGAAACTATTGGTAAACATATCTTTACATGAAAATTAAAAGTAAACTTTTAATGATAAAATGAAGCTATAAGGAAATTCTCTTCTTCATCGACATAGAATCAAGCCACAATCGAATTTTCAAAGTGGGTTTTGGAGATTAGGTGAGTAAACATATTTTATGAAAGTATATTTTAACTTGTGTCCTGTATTGGCCTCTAATGGACCCTCTATAGATCCACAGAGAAGAATCCAGACCTTGGAAAAGAGGCTCCCAGGGAGCTGTATTAACAACCGACTATATATGAACATCATTAGTATTAAATGTTAACACTTAAAAGCTTTTACCGGGGGGGGGGGGGTGACACCAATTGCAAAATTTACAGAGTAAAAAATGGGGGGGGGTGACAACATGAGATGCCGCACCGGGTGACACACGACCTAGCGACGTCACTGGCTATGAGAGAATGATGCCGTTTAGATACTATGTTCTTTCCTAACCTTGACCGGACATATACATGGTTATGGTTTATATAGACACGATTTCTTGAAACACCTTTAAAATCTAAAATAGATCGCCGGGATGGTCATGCGTAACAAATGATAGCCAATATTTGCTGGAAACCCAATACGAATGGATTAAACTTAAACGGATAAGGCTGTTGTGGGATTAACAGAAACAAGACGATGTAGATAGGGCAAAATGTCAACTGAGTGGTTCAGATGATGAATGCGTGTAGATAACAGATGGCACGAGACGAGTGAATAAACGAGAGAAGATCTGGTGTTAAGCACACTGGGTTTGGTCTCGTGGGCTAGAATGTAAGTGGACAAGGTAGCACAAGGTCAGTTTTCCAAAACATGTGTATACTCAAACTACTGTTGTCTAGAGAAAGCTGTGAAAGAGAGGTTACAGCCACTAAGATTTCAAATAGGCTTACTGTGAAAACTAACTTTATTTGTAAATTTAGCCTAGAGGTTTACATGAGTGAAGTCATACTCTTTTAGATGATTCTCCTATCCCCCCCCCCCTCCACATACACTCCTTATCATAGCAGAAATAATAACGAAACTTGTTTTTGATTCCCCTTTTTTTAAAAATAATTCGACCCCTCTTTTTATTTAAAAAAAATTACCCCTCTCTACCCAAAGTAGCACTTTGTCAAATAGGTCAGATGCATGTGATCTATTAATGAGTCCTTTTAGATTGTGTAAGGGTGCACACAAGAGCCCAAGATCAATTCCAGAACCTATAATTACTCTAGTTGTGAACACATGTACGTGTAATGGTATACAAGCAGTGTTTCTTCCAGACTTTTCTCTCGGGGGGGGGGGGGGGGGGGGGTGGCAATTGAAATTTTCGGGGGGGGGGGGTGTTAAAATTTCCGGGGGGGGGCGGACACTGTTAAAAGTATATATTTTCTATATAAATTCCGTTTCGTTCGGGGGGGGGGGGGGTAAAGAAGAAACACTGTATATAGTATAAGCCTAAGGGATCATCCATTTATGACGTCCACTAAAATTTCGGATTTTAGACACCCCTCTATACTCTCTACACAAGACCACCTTCAACCCCCAACCCCGATGTGGACGTTCCCAAAAATTTAGTAGGGCGGGGACCCTAGGGGGCGCCAAAAGGGGTAGAAAAACAATTAAAAGCTCATTTTAAGCTGCAGTTTTGAATTATAAACAGTCGAAGTAAAGAAATTTAACGGCTGAGAGCCTTTGCATATTGATTTGACTGTTTTCTATCTTGATTGTGTAACTGTAAAACGGATATCTTTAAGAAACAGTGACCAGAAAAAACACTTTCCAGCTTTCCTAGATGGGGAGGGGGGGGGGGGGGGAGCGCTTTTTCGAAGACTAACATCGGAAAAATAATAATCATTAAAAAAGTTTTAAAAAACCCACGTTTTCTGATTGAACTAAAAAGTAGAAAATAAACGCTATACATCACAATAATGCAAGCGATCACTCTACTATAAGCGATGAAAAACGTGGGGCGCCGAAGTAAAAGTTATATTACTATTGATTAGATAATACTATTGACTTTTATTAGGGAGCTTGTAGAGAGTCAACAGTATTAGAAACTGTAAGAAAATCACGGCGCCCCACGTTTTTGATCGCTTATAGTAGAGTGATCGCTTGCATTATTGTGATGTATAGCGTTTATTTTCTACTTTTTAGTTCAATCAGAAAACGTGGGTTTTTTAAAACTTTTTTAATGATTATTATTTTTTACTTTTTAGTCTTTGTTTGTTTGCATTAAAATCTTGCTATCGATTTTATCTTTTCACTTTTTTTGGGTAAACGAAGACAACTCGTAAAAAGACAACTCGTAAAAAGACAACTCGTAAAAAGACAACTCGTAAAAAACACGTTGTGTTAACACATAGATTTGAACCCGTGTCGAGTGGGATAGCAATCGTGTGCCCAACCACTCGACCATATCGTCTCCCCCAAACTGGCCTACCTCCTGTAACTTTAAACTCGGTTCAAACTAAATTATCTGCCCCTAAGCCTGTGGCGATTTGGGATCGTTCGCTTCACTGCGCGCGAGGTACGCATCGCTCGTTTTTTTTCTAATGGCTCGCAGAGGATAATTATATATATAGATTATATAGCGGTCTAAAATGCTCAATAAAATGTTTCCATTGATCAATTTAGTAATAATAACAATTGAATATTCAATGGTCATCCAAAAGAAAGCTTCCCTGAAAATTTCAGCGCGCTAGCTAACTGGGAAGTGCCAGAAATTTCGATCGCAAGATTTGATTGGAAAGACAAACAAACACAGAAAGACACAGAGAAAGCAAGTTAAAGAAAACGTGGGAAAAAATTCACACCGGATTAAGGAATAATTAACCGATATCACTCAGAAAAGAAACCCATTGTACTAAAGCGTATTTTACGATTGTGTAACATAAAAAAAGAGTTAGTGACGTTCAAAATCCGCTCTACCATTTTTGTACAAGATGGTGGGGCGCTTTTTCACTAACAAAAACCGCAGGATTTGTACTGGATCGGTTGCTAGATAACTCTTTTAACACTTAGGAAAAAAAATCAATTGTATTAACACTTAATGTACTATTTCACTACTTAGTTTTGCTAAATAATAACGCGACTAGTTCTTTGTACGATTCTTACGATTCTCTCAACTTGATCGTGATAGATCAGATACTTTTACTTGATTGCATTACATCTTGCCTGGATCACTGCATTAAAGAGAAATAAATATAACGGATTCTTGTATCCGATCAGTAAAATAGCAGACTGTCGGAGCGGGTGTGTGTAAAGTGACACTCTTTGCCAGAATGTTAAGAGATAAGAAAATTTGTATATTGTACTGATTATTACTTTGTTCAACCTAACTGATAATTCAAAATTGCAATATTGGCCTACTATTATCGAAATTGTTCTAAAGACACGACCAAAAGTAGACCAAATAAGGCTTGCACCTTCTACAAAATACACCCTAAAGCAGTGGTTCTTAACTTTTTGGAGTACCGAACCCCACCAGTTTCATATGCGCAATCACCGAACCCTCCTTAATAGTTGTATCGTCCACAATGACAAAATCCGATCGTGAATCCTATGAGTCGGGTGTGTGTCTTGACCTCTGCGGAAGCCCTGAGATTGAATTACCGAACCCCTCGGGTTCGATGGAGCTCACTGATTTAAGCTCTTTTGATTTTCTACTTTTTATTCGTTTCGGCATCTTAAGGGGAATTTAATTGGCGTCCAGTGAAGTTTTAGGGAACGACAATCAGCGTAATTGTTAATTTTTTTCCAGACTGCTTTATATATATATATATATATATATATATATATATATATATATATATATATATATATATATATATATATATATATATATATATATATATATATATATATATATATATATATATATATATGGGGGGCGCAAAACTGAAAGTTCGCCCTGGGCGCCGGGAGAGGTCGCTACGCTTCTGGCTACATTCAGCTGTATTAATAACCGACTATAAATAAACATCGTTCGTATTACACGAGCACAGTTTAAAGCTATCACCGTGGAGGGGGAAGGGTGTTTATTCAATAAATGTTGCAAAATTTGCCGAGAATCGTAATAACTTATGTCAACTCACGTATGGGATGGGGGGGGGGGGGGGGTGACACCAAATTGTATAACTTACTACAAAAACAATGATTTTTGCAATTGAATCAATAACCGTTAGAGAGAGGCCCAAAATGCTTTTTTCTAGGTGGATTAATTTAATGTTTGCAGGATTTGACGCCACTCAACAAAAAAATGACACCAAATACAACGTCCACCGAAGTGGATTGGGGTGAAACCACATAGGAAACTTAAAAATCTGCATATCATTTGATCAAGCAAATTATTATACAAGGGCCTACGAGTGTGTGTGTGTGTGTAATTTATACGTGTGTATGTGTAAGTGTATGACACCGATGTAATAATAGCTGCACATTTGATAGTGCTTAAGTAATTTAGCCTTGTGTCGATGTTCTTACTTTTCCTTTTTTGTTTACTGATTTATTATTCATGATTTATGATATGTTTAAAGTAAAGTAAAGTAAAGTTTCCCTTTCAAACCTGACGGTCTATGGGGCAAGTGAAGTAGAGCACACTTGTTTCTGTGACCCTGACATATGCTATGTTTAGTGGGATAATTTTTCTATACTATTTAAACGTTGTGCAATATATGGCTAAAATCATTATAAATTAATTAAGTTAAGCAAAAATAAATTAAAAACATATATATATATATATATATATATATATATATATATATATATATATATATATATATATATATAATATATATACTTTAAAAAAATTCTTTTGGGGGGGGGGGGGGGTGACACCATTCAGTGCCACACCGGGTGACACCCGACCTTGCTACGCCACTGAAAATAACGTAACATCGTAGTACTGTTTTCGGTGATATAAACGCAAGGTTACTAGTAAAAAAAATACATAGTCATTGACCTAATAACAGTTATAGACCTAGATCTAGATGTATCTAATATAGTTCTATATAAAAATTTGCAAAATTGCAATCAGTTGGTAATATGCCCTACTAACGTCTCATTTGAGACAAGCCATCGTTTTTCCTTCACGGGGAGATAACTCTTAATTCTTAGTCAAAGAGGAAAATTCGAAACCGAATTTTGATCAAGTTTTGTTTCATAGTTGCTTATCACAGGTGCTTTGATCTAATTCTAAACAATATATATATATTGTTTACTTTTAAAGACTAATTTTCCTAAATCAAGAAAGATTATAGACCAGATCTAGACTAGATCTAGATTGGTTTATGTACTAGAATCTAGATCTATGTCTAAGCCGCTAACGCGGCTAAGCCGGAGTCTAAAAAACAGTTAACACTACTGACTACTACTACTAGAGTACTAGACTCTACAGTATATAGATTCTATATAATATATACACACTATTACACAGTTACAGTGAGAGTCTGATGTTGATCAGTGTTGAGTGTAGTGTACTCAACTGAGTGTACTGAACTGTTACTGTACCTACTCACTACTGTAGTGTCTCTCAGTCCAGTTCAATATTATTAGATTCTAGTTCTAGATCTATATTAGAATCTAATAATAAATTGAATTTCACTGATACTTCACTGACAGACACTACAGTAGTGAGTAGTAGTACAGTAACAGTTCAGTACTAGTTCTATAGATTCTTAAGATTTCTAAATCTACTTTATGTTTGATCTAGGACTACTTATTTTACTACTTAATACAATTTTAATTAATTATTAATTCAAACTAGATCTAGCTTCTTCTACACTCTACACCACACTCACAGTGACAGTCACATATAACTTCATACAAGTGTAGGTTAATTATTAATTAAGAATAAGACCATTAAGATGTAGATAAACTGGCTGATAAAGACCAAGCTATAGGCCTATAATTTTTTATATATTATATAGAAGTCTAGATCTATATCTATTATCTAGGCCCTTATTTGATTTATTATTATTGTTTTTACAGGCCCTATAGTATAGGCCTAATATTTTGCATTTAGTTAGAATCTAAATAACTTTTAAATATAAACTCCAAACAATCTTATTTAAATAAGTTAGGCCTTGTGACTTACTTCAGCACCATTATTTCAATTATTTGTTGTTGAACTATAATTGATTGAATCATAATGTATATAACATTATATTTATTAAAAGTTGAAACATTTTTCATTAGACTGTACTTGGCTTGGGGAGCTCAAGTTAAAATGGCAAGCATACTGTTACAGTTTCCTCCACCACCGAGACGACAGCCTTCATCTGCACTTCCTAGAAGTACTAATTGTACTGTATTTGAGCAGGAAGGACAACTAAAAGATATTCCAGATTCTACAGCTATTTCATCAGTGGTAAATGTTTTCATGCATTCGTGTTTATTTTTACTGAACTTTTTAGATGTCTTCTTTAACATTGCTAGGTTTAGGTATTGTTACAATTACTGTAAAATAATTGCAGATAAATTTTAGCTTGTCTAACATCGGTGATTTTTTATACACTTAGTTTTGTAAAAAAGATTTTTAATAAATAATGCTTTTAAACCTTTAGGTAGCTGAGTATCCAAAGATAAGTCTTCAAAATGAAGCAGCAAGTCGAGTGAATGTCCGCTATGAAAATGCACAGTTGGCATTTTTATCTAATGGGCAGTCATCATGGAAAAAACCTTTGCATGCTTGGTATGGTAGAATTGTTGAACTCATTTAAAATATTTAAGTTGAATAGATCAGATCAGAAATTTAATTTTTACTTAATATTCATGTAACAAAATGTATATATATCATATATCCTTTTCAATTTTAAAGAAAATAAATGAAAACATTTTCTTAATTCTCTAAATCAAAATTTGTAAGTAATTTTATGTTTTTTATGTGTATTTTAAACTTCTTACTGCATTCTAAAGAAGGCAAATTTTTATTTTATGGATTAGAAAATTAAAATTTTAAATTAATTCTAAATAAAATCCTTGTCATTCTGTTGATCTTCTTCCATGAATTGTGTGTTTTTTTACCAGGTATAACGGTGGCTTTTTGAATATGTTTGATCAACTTTCAGAGCTACAGGATGAAGGTTTGTTTTGTTCTACAATCAATTCTTTTGATTTTTTATCTGTATATCTGGTTGCAACAACTTGAATGCCCTGATATGTGCCCCTTGGATTCCTATTCTCTGGCTGCAACCATTGTCTCCAGAGGATAAATGGAGCCATATATTTCAGTTAAGAATAAAACATCAGCAAGAATAATTGTTAGTTGTCATTAAAATAACATTATCTACATTCCCTTTTTTGCTGAAAGTTTAAGATGGATGAGTTTCTGCTGTATTTAGTAAATAGACTGGGATGTGTTTAGTTACTTTATTGTATAGTCTTCTAGTTAAGAAAGTTTAAAAAAAAACTGTAACTTGATTACATAATTAAATAAAGAGGTGTAATTGTATATAATATTTTAACTTTTAATAACTTTTACTTATTCCTGTGTCCATTCTCACTTTAGCTCCACAGTGGATGCTATCTGCCTGCAAAATGTCTATGTCTATTGTGCAAATTTTAAAGTCTTTCAAAAATTTTATACTTCCAAAAACAGTGGTAGGTTTGTATTTGTATTTTACAGAATTATAATAAAACTTATTTTCTCAAATATGTTGTATGGATAATGTAAAAATTATCTAGCATAAGCCTTATTTAAAAAGTAGCTTCTGTTGTTTTCAATGTAAAGATTTCTTTGGATAAGGAAAGCATTTAAGACATGTTACAATTGTGCTTATTGCTTCTTGCACAAAATATTTATCATATTTTATTACATTAAAATAGTTCTTGATGCTAATAATTTAATCAACCATTTAATTAATTTTTTTGTACAGATGTCAAATGAAGAAATATTGTCAAATTTTACACATGTTTCTGATTGGTAAATTATTTTCTTTTTCCTAGAATTTCTGTAGGATTAAATGTAAATAAAAAACAAAATTAGTCATTAAAGAAATTAAAATGTTGCCAGATGTAGAAAAGTTTTTATTATTGGTGATTGTAAATAAAATGTAAATTTTTTCAGGCACAAAAGTCCAATTCAAGCCTTAGCATGGCATCCACATGTTATTAAAGTTGCTATTGCCCTACACGATGACTCTGTTCATATATATTATTCAGGCAGTGATATGCGCCCTTTGCTCAAACATAAGTTACAAAAACAGGTTACAGATCTCGCTTGGCAGTAAGTTTTTTATCTACTCATAATGCCTTATTTTAAATATAGTTATAAAAATGAATTTAAAGATTATCACTTCTGTTAAAATATTACGTTGATAATTTTTATTCAAGACACACTGCTGTATTTATAACCATCCAATTCAAACCTCATATTTTTCTTCCTTTATTTGTAATTTGAATACTTTCTATCAACAGGCCCTTGTCATCATCTATTCTTGCAGTGGCTTGTCAGGCTTGTGTACTTATCTGGCATATAGAACCGACATCTCTGGCTGTCAGGTATTTTGTCTATTATGTGTGGTATTATTTATTACGTTTTTAATTATAGCTACAAGAAGATTGTGAAAGAGATTAAATCCATCATAAAAAAGCTGGTTCAGCACAATTTTTAGAATATTTCTCATTACAAATGGCAATACAGTTTTTTTCTCAGTGGTTTATATTTTCTTCATTCAAGGCCATCTTCAAGTACAGTCCAGGTGCTACAGTATAATAATCATTCACCTGTAACAAGTCTAGCTTGGAGTCCTGATGGTGATCATTTAATTTCGGCATCTCCAAGGCAAACCTCCATTGTAGTAGGTTTTTATTCTTTGATTTAACAATTAGATATATGATTGTAAAGTTTATAATTAGCATAGTGAACATGTTTATTTCACATTTTTTTAGACTTGAATATTTTTGGATGAAAACATCTTTTTGCTTACACATTTTTTTTCAGGTTTGGGATGTTCCAAAAGAGACAGGTATTGCTTTAAGTGGCAACAGAGGAGGAGGTATCACTTTACTTTCCTATGCACCAGACAGTTCAAAATTATTCACCGCAACACCTTCTCCACATTTCAGGTTGGTTTTGTCTTGAAATCTCTATAACATTTTAAAACTTACAGAGGGTATGTTATTTTTTTTTCTGCTAGTTGGTTGGTTTTACATTTTATACTCAAATTAGTAGATCGAAAGTTTAGCATTCTTTCTCTAGTAAATTAGAGTAAAAAAATTTGAAGTTAAATGAAATTTAACAATAAGATCTACATATAAATGTGATAAGCAAGCATCTAACAATTCTTTAAAAAAAAATCAAAGTGTGTAATCTTTTTAATAGAGTTTGGGATACTAAGGGCTGGCTGTCAGAAAATTGGTACAACTTATCAGGGCACTGTACTGTAAGTATTTCTCACTCATGAAATTGGTTTTTAGAAGTTTAAATTTAGGGAATAATTTTTTTGGCAGATATTTTTCTTTTACTTTTAGTGCTAATGGTGCTTTTATAGTACAATTTCTACTATCATTACACATTTCCCATTGTATTGTTTCATATTGTACAGTATCCTACTATAAATATTGATGTTTGTTTTCTAAAATCTAATTGTAATTTTTTAGGCTGCTTGCTGGAGTCCTGATGGTAAAGTGCTTGTATTCGCAATGGAAAAAAACTCTGCCCTGTACGCAGTGCGATTTCCTGATTGTAAGGATGAAAATTCACTGAGTGCTGTAAATACTTCAATGCTTCTTGCTGATGTCTCACAAGTCAGTATTTCTACAGCAAATGGCGAAGAAATTAGGTTCGTTTTTTGTGTGGTCATTTTGTATTTTTTAAAATGGTTCTAGTTGAAAAGCCAGACTTATTATGAAATAGAAATAAATGTCAATAATTATTCTAAAAATGCACGTTTTTATTTTCTCATAATTACTTAGTATTTATAATTTATAAATAAATTTTTTAATATTCTTTTTATTTTTAGAGTTGGAGGTCAAGTGAAATCTGTAGTTTGGGATAAAACTGGAGAAAGATTAGCAGTTCTATTTCAACGTGAGCATCATTTCCTCTTTTGTTCAGATGTATAAGCTAATCCTTAATCCTTTTTCTGTCTTTTGGTTTTAATTTGAAATTTTTGTTTTAATAAGACAAATTAGTATATTTCTCTACTAAAAATACTGATACAATACACAGTCATATTTGAACACTAAGGATTAAATGTTTGTATGTGGATTGAATATGTTTTGATAATTACCAGCCAATGAACTTGAAAACAACCAAGTAGTTGCTGTGTTCAAGTCAACAATTTATCCTGTTCTGGAGCTTTTCCCTGGGTAAGTCATCAAATTAATTGATAAAAACACTTTATTAAGAAAGAACTTAATCAGTTATACACCAATACATATTTGTGAAAATTTGTTTTTTAGTATTATTTCCCCTTTAAGAATTTAAAATTATCTTTTTTTTTCCTAGAAATAAAAGCAATTAAAAAAATAGATGTATCCTTTAAAATGTTTTTTCTCTCAACTTTTTAGTGGTTTTATTAAAGGAGAGTCAGGGGAATCTGCACATCATATTGCATTTTTACCATGTTTCAACAAAGGAGCTCTTTTAAGTATAGTAAGTGTACTTAAAATTTTTTTTTAAAGGAAATAAAAAATAATATTTATTTGAATATTATGTGAACAATGAAAACTTTGAAATGGAAATCTCTTTTTGTTTAATTTAATCAAAATAATTTTTTCCTCAGGTATGGTCATCAGGAAATGTTAGTTATGTGCCCATGTATTTTGTTCCTGCCTGTAAAATACCGTACAACCCAAAAGCAAATTTTGGACCTTGGCTATCTACAAGTTTTATGTCTCCAAAATAATTCTTTAAACTCTGATACATACATAAGTTAAACAAAGAAATAATAGCTTTTTATTATTGCCTTGTTAAAAAATGGGATGAATACAGTCTGAATCTCACTAATACAGTAACTGAAACAGGTTTTTATGAATTTGTTATAGTTGAGATTAGTTACAACATGAAGTTTTAGTTGGTCTTGTTATAAATTTTTTTCATCATTGTACATTTATTGCAGGTTTATATTGTTTTTCTTAAAAATGTAAAACAAAAAGTTATGATGCAGACAATATTAAAGAAGCAATTTGAAGTATAGATGCATTGGTTTTTATTTTTACCATTGTGTAAACAAGATAATACAAAATATTTCAGCTAATGTGCAAAATATTAGGTTAAGGATGTGTTTTCAATTTTTATAAAAAGCAACCAATGGACACGAGCGAGAAAAGTCTCAAAGGTATTTGAGAGGTGTATAAATTCATTTAAAAATCATGCACAGCGTAGTTACAATTAATATGGTTATAAAATCCTGTCTATCTGGTTTTTTTCGGACTTTACTAAAGATTGGATGTATTTGATGTTTATAATATTTTCGGTAACTAAATAAAAATTTAAAAAAAAGCAAAAACAATTTGGTTTTCACGTGTAATGGCGACATAAACAATGGCATCCTGCTATTGGATAGGCCGCCATTGATTTTATTGTACACATTGTAAGCTAAAAATAGAAAACTAGGTCATGGGGTTTTAAATTTGCATTGTAATTTAAAAACTTGATCTGCAAAGTTTTGTAAACAAATAGTTATCGATCACTAAGTTACTGTACAGCCAATCAATATTTGTCTTACGAAAGTGAAACATCCGGTTATAACTTAGGCTTGATGAAAATAAATAGAAATGTAGCCTTAAACTCAACAAATTATTTTCAAGTTCTCTGGATTTGCAACTTTTATAACATTTATTCTAAAAATATAAAATTTCTAAATTAATTTTAGGCTTAAGTTTTTATTTTTTATTTTTTTTTACGGTCTAAATCTAAAAAGCACGTTTTTATTCCATGTCAACAACATTGGGGACGGAATCTCGTCAACTCGCTCGCCTCCATTCAGATTTTTTTCCAGCTAAAACTTAAGGTTTACAAAACAACTCTGCTCCACATTGTAATTGATAATTTTATAAGCCAATGATAAACTTAGTGGAAAAAGCAACCAATGCAGATTTTTTCTAGCTAAAACTAAAGGTTTACAAAAAGAACTCTGCTCCTCATTGTTATTGATAATTTTATAAGCCAATGATAAACTTAGTGGATTTCATTTAGTTTGCACAAGACTACAGTGTAAAGTGTTATTGTTTTTAAAGCTAAGATAAAGTGTAAAACATAGAAGAAAAAATAGACCAAACAGTAGCTGTAAAATTACAAGAGGAAAATATAACAGATATTCTAACAAAAGTTAGGTATAATCTTTCTGAAACAATTTTTTTACAATGAAAAAATGACTAGTTTTTGTAAAGATAAAATACCACAAAATATTTTAAAATACTGATATACTATTGATTTACCGACAAATTTTGGCAAGCGAAATTAAGAAAAAATACTATGACATGACCATTATAACTATAACATGAATAACAAATATATCTCCCATAAAAATAAATTTATCACAGCATGTAAAATTTAAGTAAAGTCTAAAGATAATAGACAATCAAGAACATTTGATTGAAACTAAATAAATCACATACACGTATATCACAGTCATTTAAGTATGCAACAAAAACCAGCAGTTTAGTATGATCTCAAAATTTGTGTAGACTTAATTAAATGATTGAGCAGAAACTGACACCAAAAATAACAAAGGCACTTTGCATGCTAAAATGTCCATTCCTTAAAAACAATGTAGCGGTTGTAATTTCTACAAGTTTAACCTTGGAATTAAATACTCTATTAAAATTAAATTTCCAAATTTAAAGCAATATTTAGTTTGTTAACTTTCAAGAGAGCAACAGTAAAAAATAGCTATTTTTGTATTTAAAAGAAAATGTTACCAGTATGAAATTTAAAAAATGAATTAATTGATACATTACTTATATTTATATTGCTAAAAGTAAGTTTAATGTCCCCAGTTAAATATTTTGATTTTATATAATTAACAAAATTTGATTAATATTGATTACAAGCTCTAAAACAATTTATTCTAAAAAAAATATATATATTTAAAAAAAAGTAGGTAGCTAAAGCAGATATAAAGAAAGCAATAAACATTCATGTACCAATACCATAAAATGGCATGACTAATTGTCAAAGATCAAATAAGTCTTAAGTAATTAACTAAATTAAAAGTTCAAAAATAAAATGTGTAAACATTTTATAATTTTTTTGGTGTCATTTTGTTCTGACTCCTAGTTTTATTCAAAACTTGCTGTGCATTATCCCTGATAAGTGCACTGTGTCCAGTTAACATGTGCTGAGCTAGCAAACTTTACAGTTATTTAACATAGTTAGGGGATAATATATGACATTCAAAAGAAATATTTACAAAAACAGCCTATGTGCAGTATATTTCTTCAATAAAACAGTATTGAGGTACAAGTGTAAAGTCATGTAATTTATTATTATTAGACTTGAAAAATTTGAGATTAAGTCTGAGAGCCTGATCCTCCGACAAAAATTCATAAAAGACTAAAGAGTTTGTATAAGTGAGCAATTAAGAGTAAAAGAATATAAAGTTTGAATGCCATTTAGGAGATTCGTCAAAATATAGAAAAGTATACCTACTTCAAAATCAAAGTATAACAAATTAAAGCTTCCTATCACTAACAATAAAATAAAAATTTACAAATAAAAAAAGTTGAATTAGGTGTTGTGATTAATCAACCTCAGCGTCAATTGTAACATCTATATCAATCTGTTTGAAAACCTCTGCAGAAAATAAAATACATTTTATCAATCTTAAATGTTAACTTCTAAGATAAAAGTACTAAATCTTTCAAGTTAACTTTTTAAATACATGGCCCCATTTTGTCTTGGGGGTCAGTGATTCAGCCTTAGTGCATATATCATGAGGTGCCTAAGAAACGTTATCACTTTCATGAACTTATTGATAATAGTCCAAATGAATGCAGAGCTTTTAATTTATTACCAGGCTGCAGAAGCTGCTAAAAGGAAACCAGAGCTGGTAACCCTATTGCTTTAAGTGCTTCACTCCTGTTTGATTTCATAGTTTTCTCTCATAGATGGGTTGCTCTTGTCAGGTAACGAGCCCCATCTGCACAGGGGTTTAAACTCTGGACTTTTCAGATTAGCAATCATGTGCTCTACCACCTGACCATCGCACCCCCAATTAGCGTTTATAATAAATAAAATGATAAAAACATTTGGCACACAATTGGTTTGATTCATAATGTGATCAGCTTTGTGAAGAAAACTTACTTTATGCTGACATGAGTTGTCGACTTAAAGAGAATAGTAAAAGATTTTTCTGTGCCAGGTTCATCAAGGTGGACTAGGGCAATGTATCGACCTGGGGCTAGAACATATCGAGAATCCACATCCCAAGAGATCATAAATTTAGACTGGGCACCTTCCAGGTTAGTCGGACATGAGTTGTAATTTTCATACAAGAATTGTGTATCAAGTGGTGGGCGCTGGTCTTCTGGAATCTGTACAATCAGGAATGCATAAAATTATTACATATTTTTCAGGAATTCATAAAATAATTACATATTTTCAGGAATTCATAAAATTATTACATTTGTTTCAGGAATGCATAAAATTGTTACATTTATAACAAACATATAACCCATCTAAATGTAAAGAAATTTAAAAGTCTTGAACTAATATTACATAATAATATACTCTTAAAGAGATTTCCTTATAGTTAAAATATTTTTAAAACAAAACTAAAATTTTGATTGATAGTTTTATAAGCCTCTACAAATTGTAACAACTTACTTGAAATAGTCTAATCCCAATAGGATATTGTGGTTCAATATTGTCTTGCATGACATGTATAACAATTGGAACATCTCTACCTGATAAAAGATGAAGATAGATACTGAATTAAAATAACCATAATTTAAAATACACAAAACATACTGATTTTTTAAATGAAATAATTATTAGGATTAACCTTATCTGTAGTGTATAAAGAACTTAACTATTGGACTAAAAATGAAATTTAAAATTTGTCCTTCATTAAAATAATTAAAGCCTGTTTTTTGCTCCTAAAAGTAATACTATAAGACACACACATAAAAACACCCATCATTAGTAACATATAGTTAATGATATTCATTACACAAATAAAAATGTACGATATTACTCATTTTATTTTACTTTGTTTGAAACCTACCTGTATCTGGGATTATGATCAGATACTGAGGATTAAGCTGATAGCTATCTTGGTTTGAAACTTGACCACCAGCATTTACTCCATTAATGAATTCTCCAAACAGTGTTTTCTCAAAAGCTGTAAAAAAAAGCTTTTTAATATATAATTGATGTAAAAAATAAGTTGCTTAAAATGAGTTGCTTAGAAAGTGTGAAAAATGTTGGTATTAAATGTAAGAGTGTAAAGTTAGTAAGGGGAGTTAATATCTCTCTGAAGTCAACTACATTCTCCATTGCCTTTATTTTGTTAAAAAAAAAACCATGGTGAATAAGGAAATCCTACAAACTCCAAATTGCTGCTTTAAATTTGACTTAAAAATACATTTATAGAGGCTTCAATTTATTGATTTTACTTACTCAGCTGATGCACCTTGCCTCTCACCTCAAGAGTTTCTTCATTTTCACATGATGTCAATTTCACATCTTGAGGAATTTCTCTATGAAAAAGAATTTAAGGCTTTAATTTTTATATTGATGAAACTATAAAATAAGATATCAAAATATTGTTAGAAGTAACAATTGTTATTTGCTGCTAGTTGCACTATATTTTACAGATTTTTGTCAAAAAAGTGTGTATTAAATGGTGCTAAAATATAAACTATAGAATTTATAAAATGTTCAAAATATGTTTTAGTTTTTTAAATTTTGTGAGATCTTCAAATGGGTAATTACTGTAGCAAAAACAAGTAATGCTTGAAAAACCTATGAGTGTGAAAAGCTATATTTTTGAAATTTGTAAATTACAAGTAAAATATAATTTACTTGACATTTAGTATAGGTGCTGGGCTGAAAAGTCTCAACAGAAATGCCTTCTCAAGGCCTTCATCTACTGTAGATGGGATGATCATGTACCGACCAGGCTTAAGCTTAAACCTAAAGGAGGTCTGCAGTTCTGGTGTATAAACATTGTTTTTCTTGCCCTGAATTTCAAGAGCTATGCAGCGGCCTGTTGGTCGAATCTTATCACCCAAAACCTTGAGAAAATAAGATAGATATAATCTACATTACTGGTAGTATACAAAATATTCGTTTTTCTTTTAAACTATTATTTTCTTGATGAACACATTTATCTAGAGATATTTAAATTGATTGCACATGGACCTTCTCTACACAAAGGAAGCCTGTTACACATTTCTACAATAAATATAAAACTGGTTACCTTAAACACATCACACCGCATGGATATGTTGTCTGTTTTTTTCTTTTTATTATTGATAACAGTTCTTGAATGTTGTATCATCTGGACAACAAAAGGGACAGAACCATCATCAACAACCCCTGTAAATTTACAAGACAAATAGTTCAGCAAAATATAATTAAAAAATGTAAAACTTTTTTAAATAGGTTAATAATTAACTAACAGCTTAACTTACCCTGATCAGTCACACTAAAGTAAATTCTTGGATTTTGCAGCAATTTATGGAATCCAGCAGCCTGAGGGCCTCTCCATTCACCAAAGATGCTAAGGATATGATCTGAGAAAAGAATTTAGTCTTAGTCAAATGAAAACTATACTTGCAGAGTTATTTTTGGAAGATTCAGGCAAAAATTAAATTGTGTAACATAAATTTCTTTTGTATAGATATGTTAATATATCAATAATTATGTTAATGTGTGTGATATCTGGGGTAGTTAAATGAAAACATTGATATAAAAACACTCAACTTGGGGATGTGAAAGGAGGTTCTAGGATAGCAATTTTTGGGATTTTTTAAATTAATTTTTTTTAATCATATGTAAACATCCGGAGGTGAAATTATCTCTTAAATATAACTTTAAAGTTTTTTAAATTGTCTTCTTAAGTGTTAAACTGAAAAGCTTATTATAAATATTGTAAATTTTAAATTCCGAAATTTTCAGCATCAGGCTTTAAAAATAGTTAACATTACATAAGGGCAGCATTAAATCTGCATTTAAAAATTGATCGACTGAAAAAGTAAAAATCTTAAGTAGGTGCTAAACAATAAGTGTTGAGGAGAGTCACATTTTATACAGGGACGTCAGTGTATAACTGTATTTATAGGCAAGAAAGTTGAATTCAACTGATATGTTTTAGACATTAAGTAAATTAGAAGTAATTTCAAAAACAAACTTACTAAGAGAATCAGAGCTGCCATCCATGTCAAAATCTGGTGTAAGGGAACAAATAGTGGTCTGTGAAAAATACTTCATGAAGTCTGAGAGACAGACATAAAATTCTCCATCATCTTTATTTGGAGCTTTAACTGCACCTTCAGGTATTTTATTCCATTCAGGGCTCCTAGAGAGATAAACAAAATGTTTTATTTGACAGCACAGCAGCATTAATAATTACATTTACAGCCATTAACATTTTATCAGAATGAGAAGGATTTACAAAATATGTATGGACAGGCTCTTACTCTTAGTTTATTTCAAATATGTAAAATAAGTAGCAATATGAGAGTTGGTGATACCATTTCAAACAGAACATGCTAAACACTTATGTTTTTAATGTTAAACTTTAGCTGTTATTTTGTATAGAAATCAATCAATTTTCTAAAGCCTCAATGTGCATATAAAATCCATTGTACTTAACAGGAAACATGAAAAGAAAGAGAACAAACATTCTTTTGCTTAATAGATCTAATAATAAAATAATTCTTGATTGGCTATGTATCGGAAAAATATTGTGGCTTTTAAAAAAAATATTCACACTTTGCCATTTTTAGTAACTAAGAAGATAAATGTTGAAATTATTTTCATAAATCACATTAGCTTAAAGCTATGTCTTACCCATCACACCAAGCACCCTTCCATTCTCCATGTCCCCATGGGTTACGTACACGGATCAATTGAGTGTTGCCTGCCTTAAAACAAAATATAGAAATTATTAACCAAAATATTTACATTTTTTAGTTAGCTACTTAAGTAAATAAAAGATTGACAAGGTAGGTACCTGTATAGCTCCTACAAGAGAATAAGCATGTCCACCAACAAGTCCTTTATAATTGTCATACTCGTCCTAAGAATAATGCAACCACATTAAAAACAAATTTAAAAAAAAGCAAAAGGTATTGAAAACTAAAAACATTTAACCAACTTTTTTAGTGTTAAGTAAAATAAAAAATAATCATATTATGAATTATTAAAATCATATATAATAATTTATTTTGAGAATTTTAATTATTTTTGTTTGTTTGAGCAAAGCACAATACAATGCATCTCTAATTATATACAATACTGAAGTCTAGAAAAATATGAAACAATGCATTTAATGAATGTAATTTTAAAAAATTGAAGTGTCGAATTATAACAGGAAATAATATTAAATTTTAAGCTATATGAGCCTGTATTTCTATAATTCAGAGAAAATCTGACTTGATGTGTTTTCATGCATAAAACTCATTGAACTAATGAATACACTTACTGGAACAACACATGTCAATTGACAACCAGAGCCCAGTGCATTTTTAATGCGGGTGAAGATGGAAGAGGCTTTATCTTGTAAGCCATCCAGTTCAATTCTCTCCCCTATTCCACCAGTTAATTGAAGGTAAGCATCACCAGGCTGACCACCATATATGGCATCATAGGAACCATGCAGTCTGCAAAATTTTTTTTTTTTAAATAAATAAATGAGAGTAAAATCAACAACAATATTATTTACACAAGAAATGAATTAGCTTATTATTGGACATAAATGTTAATGTTGTCTTTTCATACCTGGCAAAAGCTTTTTCCAATAGAGCCACCCACATTTCATTGCTATCAGTGCTTGACTTGGCTCCCCACAAAACATTGTCATAAACAACAGGCAGATAATCATCAATATAAACATCTTCCCATTTACCAAACTGAAAAAACCTAGCATGAAAAACGCCATCATATCTGTCTGGGTCATCAATGTAATAGGCAGAATCTGGAATTACCTGAAATTAAATTACATATTCAACATATTTTATAGGAAAATAACAAAACAATTTTATTTTTAACATAGCTTTATTTTAAAAGATTTTTACTTGTTTTATGAGGTCAGGTTTGTCAGCAATATCAGCAACAATAGATAAGAAATAACAAGTCCCAGCTGTCCCCTGTCCAATATCAAATCGAGTGGACCCCTCTGTAAACAGTTGTGGATTTTCTACAAACTCCTTGAAGATTAAAAAGATGGTAGAATTATTATACCAAAATGAAGAATGCTTAAATTAAAAAATCAGTGGCACAAAAAACATAAGCTAACAAATTGTAAGAAAACAGAACAATATTAGTTATATTACAGTAAGTGAATGCATTGTTAAAAGTAATTTTAGAGTTAAAGAGTTAGTGTATTGATTGCTACAACTTGCAGATTTTTTTCAAGTTAAAAGAAAACTAAAACTTAAAACCTCACCTTTGGTCTCTTCCATTCAACATTTTGGTTGTCTTGAACAATAGCAATTTCTAAAGGAAACTCTTCATCAACAAATAAGTTTCCAGGATCTACTCTTGGCTTTTCATCTGATTCTTCATCAATATAGTATCCTCGAAAATCAACAGTTTTCACCATAAGACCGGAGCTGTTTAGGCTATAGTCTTCCTGGTCTTCTATCCCATCATCATCAAAAGGAGTGTCATCTTCTGTGTAATCTATGGGTGTTTCTTGATTTGGAGGAGGAGTAGGCTGACGATGAGACTTATAGCTTGCTTGCAAGGGTTTCTCAATGTATGGGTCGTCATTATTTTTAGTTTTAGCTACATCTTTACTGATATGTTCATTATCATGATGGTATTTATCACTATAATCATCATCATATCTTCTGTGATCTAATTTCTTTTCATTTATTTGGTAGTTTTCTCTATTGTAGGATGTGTGATCAATATTATCATGTTCCCTGTTGTGTTTTTTAGATACTTTCTCATGATTTGATTGGTTTATATCTTTATTTCTATAGAATTCATCATTGTTAGTGCTTTGTTTTGAAGAAGGCTGTGATGTTCCACAACCCATAATGTTGTCTTGACTGGGACAAAAATTTGTGTGCTATTGTACAACCAGACAAAATAAAGATATATATATATATATATATATATATATATATATATATATATATATATATATATATATATATATATATATATATATATATATATATATATATATATACATATTGAAAATGGACAAATGTATTAACAAAATATATTAACATGTACAAAATTTCAAAAAAATTTCAATTTAAAATAATTAATGATGAATTATTAACTTAGTAGATCTAGTTTACTTACTGTATAACAAAGATTATTTTGATATTATGTTGGCTCTTACATTTTCCTGACTCACGTCAAGACATTGTCAAACCTGAAAATGTATGCATTCATACATTTTTATTCTCAGTCCCAATAGGTCTACTACTTATTATATTTATTATTATATGTCACACATACAAAAATCCACACTCCTTTCCCTAAAATTAAAATATAAAATATCTCAAAGTTTAAACTTTTCTTTCAATAAATAGATCTAGAGGATCTAGTTCTCTGTAACCCTAGATTCTATAACATAATTCAAATAGAATTTTATTTAAAAAAAATATCCATTTTCAACTCATGTATAAATAATATATAATAATTTACAGAATAGGCCAAATAGTGATTATAACACATAATAGTATTACCATAGACTAGTGGGACTGCGTGGCCTAGCAGTGGCGCGCTAGACTGCTAACCCGATAGTTTTGAGTTCAAATCTGGGTTCAAGTTAGTAGATCGTCCCTGAGTCCACCCAACTCTGATGGGTACCTAACTCACGTTAAGGAAAGTAAAGGCGGCTGGGCCTAATAGTGGTGACCACATTATCCCTTTATATGCTGAGGTCAAAAAACATATATGAACTCCACTTTATCTGCCCAATGAATTGTTACGTCTAAAGAGGAATCTTTACTTTATAGACTATAGGTGCCTATTCAAGATATGGTTATTATGTTATTTTAATATGTTATAAGCCTAATAATTACTAGTATTATTAAATGTAGTTAAGTATAGAGTATTCAGTATAGCCTACTATCTATTAGCCAGCTAGTTGATCCAGATTCTTAATAAATTCAATATAAAAGATACGAAGTGACTACGCGTCTCGCAAAGCGTGGCCCCTAAAGAATATACTACGCGTCTCGCAGGTTTGATTCGCCATCTTGCAATTGAAAATGCTTATTTTTGACTTCTCTACACATCCGCTGTGGTTAAGTCAACAGTGTGCCAGCTGTAGTCTGAAATTTATGGACCTGGAGTTCAGAGTTCGAACCCGGGGTTACCTTTTTTTTTTTTTTACATTTTTTTTTCATATTGAAAATATGACGTAGACTATGATTCTTTTTTTTTTTTAATAAAATTTCCAAACATCGTCACTGTCGTGATTGCTTGCTTGCCTTACGTTTACTATCCAGTGAGTGGAAAATCCCACCACGGCCCACGGTCGGCGAGGTCACTGAGTTCAGCAGGCCTAAAGCATACGTCATAGGCGTTCACTCGAGATTGTCTGTCTTCACTTCTCTCTTCCTCCCACCCCCCACCCCCCCTCAAGCAAATTTAATTTTTTTTTTTTTTAAGTTCACGTAGAATAAATAATATAGACTTAGATCTACTATCACTATAAAGGACAGTGTGATTTAGCTAGGTTGCTGCTAGATCTAGGACTATCATCTGACCCATCTGACCTCACAAACTTTCCTGTACTAGACTCTTATGTGTTGAAATAATATAGAGATCTAAATAAACTTAAACTCGATCTAGATCTATTTCAACATTAAATTGTAACCACGAAAAAAAAATCGGGCAGTCCTGATATCTGTTTTTTTTTAGATCGCGTGCCACCTAGGGTAAAGTTTAAGCGTAACGCGGAGCGAACTGCGCAAAGGCGGCCTTATGTGTCACGCGGAGCGAACTGCGCAAATAAATTCAATATAAAAGATAATAGAATAGGCCTATAGGATAGTATAGATTATAGAATCTACTTCGTTTTAACTTACTACTTAACTACTTAGGCCTATTATTTAATATTTATAAATATTAATATTTATTTAGAATATTTTTATAATTTAGTTATATTATTAATATTATTAAATTATAAATTATTAATAATTATAGAATATAGCTCAGGAGGCTATATTATAGATGTTCTTAACACCCTCGATATTCAACGAAAAACAATAAGCAGATTAGAAATATTACTAAAACAAATACGAAATGAAAAGTAATAGTAATTCATAGATTTACATATTCATATTACTATTACATAAAAGTTAAAAGTCATAAAGGTTGCCTTGGGCCTTAGATCTCCATGCTTGGCAACACTGTAAACAACAGTCGAAAGTGAAGCTGTGTCATGTCGCAAAACATCACATACAGCGCACTTGAACTTACAAATAAACCTTGACCTTTGAACTCTATACATTAAAAAGTAAGATTAAAAACAATAACATCTCTAAAACGTGAAATAAATAAAACTTTACCCAACCTATTCTAGATTTCTAAAATCCTAGAACTTAGTCGTCTTAGATCTACAGTCTGCAGAAGTCTACAAAAGTCTATCTCTACACACATAATTGGTAAAATTCAATTACAAATACTGCAGATTACTTACGCAACAGCTAGATCTACATTCTTGGCACTTAGTTGTGTTTGATGAATGATAAAAAAAGATTAAAAAAAAAAGAATGAGGATCATGTGTGTTCTTGAGTCAGCTGACTAGGGTTTGTTTTGTAACAATTTGTTTGAGGTGTAAGGACCTAGATCTAGAAATCTACATATCTAAATCTAAAAAAGAAAATAACTTTTGAATCTAATGATAATGATACTAATGGTAATGGTAGGTACTAACTAAACGTTGAATAAGTAATACAAATTACAAATACAAGTAGATCTAGATCTAGAATCTATGTGACTCATACTACGACTAGCACCCCAGCTAGCTGCTAGCTTGCCCTATTTTTTAAATTTATAAAGTACTATAAACTACTACTTGGATCAAGATTAAGATCTATGATTCTAGCCTCACATGTACTGAGTGCTGTGACACAGAAGGAGGAGTGTGTTAAAAAAAACAACTATTTTGTTTTTTGGTGTGTGAGCATTTGTTAATAATTAATAATGTTAGTCTAATCTTCTTCTTCGTTCTTAATTATTAGTGTGGAGGGGATCAAGATTTATCTGCCAGTGGGTTTGATCTCGAGACTTTGTTCGAATTTATCACGCCTCCAACACAATTAAGCGTTACGTGTCAACTGGTTATGCGCCATTGAGGCCATTGACTCCGATTTCAGCCTGCTTTTCTTTTTGGATTTGCTTTCTTAGCCTTTGTCCAACCAAGAACAATCTACAAGGCAGCAGTTGTTTAATTTTGGAGTTGTCTCTCCTAGAAGAGTGGCTGTCCCCAGCTAACGAGCCTCATCTGCCAGAGGGTTCGAACTCGAGACTTTTCGGTTTAGCAACCATGAGCTTTACCGACTCGACCACAGATTGTTTCCCCTGCATGGCCTCCCCCAACTGGCGGGCTTGTTGCATTGAGTTAAATATAAACTCAAAATAATAATATAAACAATCGCCCTTCAGTCGGTCAGGCCACATACCACGCACGCATAGTGTTGTGTGTCGTGCCTTAACCAAAACAAACTATCTCCCTTCATTATCATTAGAGATATTTAATTAATTAATTAATTAATTAGGTAATTTATAAAATAATGAGATGATTTCCTCTATGATGCTATAGCAGTAGGTAAGTATAATTTTTAACTGTGTTTTGGGCACTTTTTCAAGTATTGTTTAGTTACCTAATTCTAAGTTCATAATTTCTGTGGACCCCTTGTGGAACAAAGGGACACAACCACAACACGTACATTGTGCTCAGTTTTGGGTTATTCCTGAAAAGTTAGGTTCATAACAATTAACATTCCAGCTACTTGTGCTTCGCTGACTTTTCTGTTATCAGGACAGTTGTCAGTGGACTAACTTCCCAAAGACTTTCACCAGCACACATAAGCTCTACTATTGAGGAATTTTCATTCCTTGTCAAACCCTCATTGGTTTCATGCTATTGCCTTTTCTGTAGCAGGTTGTTGCTTTACTAGGTTGCTAGCCCTACAACCAACACTTCTTATTTGAGCTTGGGACCAGTGTGCTGCCTTGGAATGTTGGTATAGGCAAAGCTAGTTATCTAAATTATTAATATCAACTGCATCTAAAGGTGAAATAACAACACACAATCATGATTTTATAATCACATAAATACATGATTGAAATAAATGTCCAGAAAATTATTAAAATATTAAAACTACACATTGGATAGAGCTTTTAATTTTTTTTTTGCAGCTGTTAGTATGCTGTTCTTTGATACCTTAAATGATGCAGGCTATTGATGAATTAGATGGAGGTTGAACGTGTGCCATTTAATGTGTCTCTGCCTCTGCTGGGTGTAGGAGCATTTACTTTGCTACTCAGCTTTTGTTTTTGCTGTTATTTATGGAGGTATGAAGTTTGTTGGTATTTAGTAATACCCGACATATTGCACTTTTTCTGTCTTTATTTTCATTTTAAGTCTGAAATATAATCTCATTTTTCTTGTCAGTGAGATAAATATATAATTAAGTATCAAACTGTAAGTAATAATTACTCCTTACTTATAAGTGTAAGCTGAGCTGGTTAAGAGAATTGATTTTACTCAAGGTTTTATGTTCTTGATGTGACATAATTTTAGGGATATTGATTATTTTTGCTTAATATTTTTAGGTTAAAACGCAATGCTAGACAAGATGAACAAGGCTATTTGACTGTATGTAATCTGTTTTCATTACAGTTAGTTAAAGACATATAGTTGTAAAGTAAGAGTATTGTTAATTTATTTTAATATCTTGATGAATATTTGTTTTGATATACATGAGATATACTTATTGTAATTTTTATATTTAGAGAAAATACACACCAAAACACAAGCATCAACAGAATGATGTAAGTTAGTCTGTAGATAAAATATAACTTAGAGAAATGAACAAGTAATAAAGTATTCAGCATAAATCTAGACAAATACCAGTGAACTATTCAGTCAATTGTACACAATGTAAAACTGTTCCACAGACTTGTCCAGTTTGTCTGGAAGAGTTCCTGGCAGGGGAGAAAATTGCCTTGTGTCTGTGTAAGCATGGCTTTCATTCCAAGTAAGTCTTCAACAGATTAGTTATTAAATCTTTTACATTCCCAAATCCTAATCTTTGTCAAGGATGTCTATTGCACATTTATTCTTAGTAATTTTACAATTTATCAAGAATTGTAGTTTAAACCTAATAAGAATAATACAGAAATCAGGGTGATTTTAGTACTGTTCATATGATCTTCATATATATTTAAAACATTCCTTTTACTTTATATTACGTAACATTTTTAGTTATATTTCTTTTTCCCACGTTTTTTTTAAACTTGCTTTCACGTCTGTTTGTTTGTTTGTTTTTCCAATCAAATCTTGCAATCGAAATTTCGGGCACTTCCCAGTTAGCTAGCACACTGAAATTTTCAGGGAAGCTTTGTTTCCTATGACAGTACCATATTCAATTATTATTATTACTAAATTGATCCATGGAAAAATTTTATTGATCATTTTAGACCCCTATCGATTTGTACAAAAAAGGGACATAACCTGGTAATTGTAATTTGATAAAACAAGGTTCGGTACTTTCCCTCTTCTGGCTTACTGAAAGAGCAAGCACGCAATTGGCTGAGTAGTGGTCACGGGGTGTTTGTGTACAAACCTGTACAAAATGGTGAAAGCAACGGCAACACAGAAGAAACGTCGATTGGAAAAGGCACGTGTTTTTTACGAGTTGTCTTTGTTTACCCAAAAAAAAAGTGAATGCGAGAAGATAAAATCGATAGCAAGATTTGAATGCAAACAATGCGCACGCAGTTTGCGATCGCTTATAGTAGAGCGATCGCTTGCATTATTTTGATGTATTGCATTTATTTTCTACTTTTTAGTTCAATCAGAAAACGTGGGTTTTTAAAAAAATTTTTAATGATAATTATTTGAATATTATGATCATGACAATGAGTAGAGGTTTAATGTTACAATGTTACATAACAACATTGTTGCTGTGCTGAGTCTCCGTGAGAGAAAATGTTTGTATCTCTCTACAGGTGTTTAATCCAATGGCTGGAGTACAAGAACACATGTCCAATGTGTAAAGCACCTGTAACCAAAACAGCCAATGAAAGAACAGGTTTAATTCATCCTTCAACAACTACATCAGTGTGACAAGATAGTAGTTCTCCATGCTAATGTTGTGCTACTTCATTCATTGGACTTTGCTGTAATGTTTAGCAGCATTTGATTGAATAATTGTTGCTGTAATCTTTACCAGCATATGATTGAAAGATTGTCACTAGACAGACAACACCAGGACAGCAATGTTGCATCAACCAGTAGGTCACTCATGACAAACATCTCATTACAGTTACAATTAATTTAATTATATGTTTTGCATAGAAAATAAATCAACAGTTTAAAATAATGCATTTACTCTACTTTGTGTAAATATTTAATGCTTGTGAAATATTTACTTGTATAAAGTAAAGAACATATTAATTATTATGTGTCTATTCTAAAAAACTGTATTTGTGATTGGATGTTTGAAACATCAAAGGACAGAAAATTCTATCCTTTTTTTAAAGTTTTTATGAGTAACAAGTTCTTTTCAGATGTTTAAGCCAGTCTAACTTTTTATGACATTCCATGAGATCTTAAAATGGCTGTTTGTTAAATGAACAGTTTTTTTTTTGTTTTGATAGCAAAGATCATTATTTTAATTACATAATTTAAATAATACATAAAATTGATAAAAAAACTCCATTGGGATTCTAACTAGCCTCAAAGTATTTGAACAATGCTGTAATACTGATACAGCAAGGGCTCTCAAAGATGTAAATCTTGTCTTGTTATGTTGAATTGAACTCTAGTGTTCCAAAATGTGGCCATTATTGAACCAATTACTCAAGAAAACTCTTGTACATAGTTTAGATAACGTAATACATAAAACTATTTTACTAACTGATATAAAACTTTAAATATATTGGGTGTGATAATGTACAGTAAAGTTTAAACCCAGGGTAAGGTTGTTTTAAAACTGTTTTTTTAATTTTTTTGAATTGATGTATGACTCAAAAAATGTGTTATACATAGTGTCGGTTGTTTCTGTGCAATATAAAGTTTATAAAAAAATTACATCACTTTTTTAAGAAAATGGTTTATTTGGACATACATTGTTATTTTCTCCTATAATTTATGTACAAGACTGGAGTCATATATAACCACTTTAAAGCTACAGTCATACAATTGCTTTGTTGTAATATTTTTAAAAAATGTAATGTAACAGAAAAAAAACATCCACTATCATAGATGAGTAAACACACACTAATAAATTAGCCAAGTGTGGTTTTCTAATTAAATTAAACAGTATCTGATTAAATTATGTGCATTTCAAAACAAAACATTTTTATGTATATGTTCATGTAAAATCACCTGTTATTTGTATATTTTACTAAATAATTTCATAAATTAAAAAATGTAAAGGGATCCTTGCTTGTTGAAATTACTGTAATCTGTAACCAAATAAAATCATAATGTTAAAAATGTATTATTTTATCATTACTTTATTGCCTATTTATAAAAATGAAAGTAACTGTTGGTTTGTCAGTGAGTTTCTCTTTGATCCAATACTACACCTTTCATCATATTACCATGTAACTTTGGGAAGTTGATGAGGATAATCATGTGAAGGATCCTGCGGGGAAAAAATTAAAATTTCGTAGGAGCAGCACCCTGGCAGGGTGTTGCTTGGCACCCAGACTTTGACAGTGGTTGTCTTGGCGCTGGGATCTGTTGATTGGGAGTCTTGCACAGGGTCAGGCAGAGGCGTAGCGACCCTTCCCGGGGACAAACTTTCGATTTGCATCCACCCCCTCAAACTTTCGATTTGCACCTCCCCCTCAAACTTTTGATTACTTTTTCCAACCCATTTTGGCACACCCTAAGGTCGTCGCCCGGGGACATATGTCCCCCCTCCCCCCCCCCCCCCCCAATCTCTACGACTCTGGGGTCAGGGGTACTACAGCTTCATTTTAAATAGCTCCAATATGGATACGATGAACAATACTATAGTTTTCATGAAAAATATTTTTATGACTCCTCTACTTGTTTACCATCGGCCTACGCTGATAACAAACACAAGACATGAACTGGTAGATCGGGCCAGGACTAGATACATATGGAGTTTATAGAATTCTATAAACAAGAACGTCAGATTAGTTTAAATACGTTTTATTTGAAGGATTACAGGCCTTCAGCAAATCACAGGCGGTTTCCTAATGTGTCTCTCTCCTTACACGGACCTTTCAGCCTTGAGCTAAGCTAGGCTGACCGCAACAGGTTACAGCAAGGAGCATTTCTCTCACAATTGTATCCAGTTACTACACCCGTGTGTTTCTTCCAGTCTCCTCCCCTCCCCCTTAATGGGTCGCTGTCATTAGCCCTGCTTCATCCCCGCCACTAATACAGAACGGCAAAATACCAGCTCGTCATTCATAGAGCACCAGTTAGGCAACTTACATAATCCTATGTGATTCAGTGGTGGTCTACACATAATCCTATGTGATTTAGTTGTGGTCTACACATAATCCTATGTGATTCAGTGGGGGTCTACACATAATCCTATGTGATTCAGTAGTGGTATACATAAACAAAATAACAGACCTCACAAAACTGACAATGTGGCGGTTTTACTAGCAACTACCACATTAAAAAAATCATCGCTAGCTAATAAAAGAACTTATTAATTTTTTATGAAAATATAGGCCAGTGCTTACAATTTACGATAGGCGGCCTTATTTTATTACAGCCAGTTTCCTTTTCTTCATACATTTTCTCCGGCACGACAAAAGAGCGCCGACATAAGGGGCGGTAAAAAATTTCTTACTTTTTCTATATAAATATTTAAAAAAATCTATTTTGGTAGGGAGAGGTGGGGTGGGGGGGGGGGGGGGGGGGGCAGAGGCGTAGCTAGGGGAGGGCGGGGAGGGCGGCCGCCCCGGGCGCCGACCCTAAGGGGGCGCCAAAAGGGGTAGAAAAAAAATTTACAAGCTCATTTTAAGCTGCAGTTTTGAATTATAAACAGTCAAAGTAAAGAAATTTAACGGCTGAGAGCCTTTGCATACTGATTTAACTGTTTTCTACCTTGATTGAGTAACTGTAAAAGGTATATCCTTAAGAAACAGTGACCGGAAAAACTGCTTTCCAGCTTTCCTAGATGGAGGGGGGGGGGGGGCGCTTTTTCGAAGACTAAAATCGGAAAAATTAAGGAATAAATAACCCATATCACTCAGAAAAGAGCCAATGTAACTAAAGCGTATTTTACGATTGTGTAACATAAAAACAAGAGTTAGTGACGTTTAAAATTAGCTCTACCATTTTTGTCCAAGATGGTGGGGAAGGGGGGGGGGGCGCTTTTTCACCAACAAAAATCGCAGGATTTGTACTGAATCGGTTACTAGATAACTCTTTTAACACTTAGAAAAGAAATGTTTTTTCCTCTAGCTTGATTTATTATACAATCAACCAGCCAACGAAATACCCATATTGTATTCCAGTGTGAACAATAATTTGCTATTGTATGTCAATTGTATGACCTTAATCTATCAAACTTATAATCCAAATATCTATATATATATATCTATCTATCTATCTATCTATATATATATATATATATATATATATATATATATATATATATATATATATATATATATATATATATATATATATATATATATATATATATATATATATATATATATATATATATATATATATATATATATATATATATATATAATTCTCTTCTGGGAGACGCTAGAAAACAAGCTGTAAGCGCGCTCCCTACCACCCCACCCCTACATGGTCTGGTGAGCTTTGGTTCACGCTAAATGTTTACATTCGTAGAGCCGGGTTTAGTGACGGCTATTAGGGGCAGATAATTTAGTTTGAAACGATTTTAAACTTAGGGGAGGTAACTAAGAGGAGGCTGCTTTCACGGGGGGGGGGGGGGTGTAGGGTAGGGGTTGGGGGAAAGGAGGGTGGGGGTAGTATCGTCCTTAAGGACCTACTGATAGTGTTTTAAAGCAGATATTTTCAGTGGCAGCATTGGTACTGTCGAATTCACAAATTATGAATTACTGAAAAGTAGAAAATAAAATAACTAAATAGCGGCGTATGATATGCCGCCGGTCGGCTCGTATACTATATCATAAAAGAGACTGTTCCAAAGATAAAAAATAAAAAGACTGTCCAAAACGAATTAGTACCGCTACAATATTTTTTTTCTGACATAACTAATCATCATCTTTAAAGGATAATGCATCTTAAGGGGAATTTAATTGATGTTGAGTTAAGTTTTAGGGAACGACAATCATACAGCGTAACTATTATTTTTTTTCAAGACTGTCGCACACGCACACACACACACACACATATATATATATATATATATATATATATATATATATATATATTTGGCGGGGCGCCAAACTGAATGTTCGCCCCGGGCGCCGGGAGGGGTCGCTACGCCTCTGGGGGGGGGGGGGGGGTTGTTGTCTGTCAACTTGATTCGGTGAAGGGGGCTGAATGAAGTTTAGAATAATTCATGTTCAAGAAAAGATTAAAGACCGAAACAATACATTCACATTACCTTTCAAAATAAAAACGTGAGTGAAAATTAGATTAAGTACTTTCCTTTAAAAATTTCCCGACCATTTACTCATCTGTAATTCAAATTTGAGTTATTTAAATTTTGTGCTAGTGTGTAAAAAAATAATTTCAAACACAATTAAAACAAACAACTTATATAACGTATGACGTCATGCTCGGGAGTAAACAAACAATATACGCGCGTCAAAAATTTGTGACGTTGACTAATTACTGCTAAATTGGCCAGCAGCCGGAATGTAACCTGGCTACATTATTATCACCTTGCTCTCACAATGACCTTTTGTTAAAAAATTGCGCATGACAACACGGTGTCTAGGTTGTTTGCATTCAATATATAAAGTTCTAAAGCAGGTGCTTAATTTACAGAAAGGGTTGCTAAGTTAAACTATGTTATAATTAACTAGAAATAGATCTGCATGGTTGGATGTAACTGTTCTTATTTACAAGGAAACTTTTCCGCAAAATAATGTTGATAATAGAGAATTCCCGGCAAGGTTATTTTTCGCGTTTTTAAGATGGTCAATAACATCTCTGAGTATTGCGATCGTTCCTAAAGGGCGTCAGATACCTGGGGGCAGAGTTTCTTTCAGTCATCTTGTCGGGGGGGGGGGGGGGGGGGGAGTCCAACGCCCTTACCCCGGCGAAATAGAAATAAAAAAAAATATAGGCCTATCAAAAATATATTAATAGTTTTTGCCTTTCCGGAAATTTAATGCGCCCCTCCCGCCCGACTGTTTCAAATAGCACCCCCTCGGAGGAAGATATCTAAAAGATACAGTGTGTATTTTAAAATGTAATCACTCACTTAGATCCATTAATTTGCTTGCTATGCCATTAATACCCCCACTCTAATTATTTTTAAAGCAGGAATATGTCAGCCCCGAACCAATAGCGTACGTAAACAGAAACACATAATATGTATTACATCGTGACAACACTAGTCAGGGCCCGTCACTCTCATATCCTATGTATTATTATCCTGTTCATCGTGTTAGTATAAAGATAGGCTGCCTGGTCACGTAAAATCTATTTTTTGATTCGTGAATTTTAATTAATTTATCACAGCGAAATTTTTTTTAAAGTGGCATAGTAAATATTTAAAAAATAAAGTTTTATACTGAAGGCATAAACAGGAATAATGGGATTTAAAAACATACACAAGCAGTAGCGTACGGCAGGGGGAGGGGAGCAGGGGGAGCGGCCCCCTCTGGCCATTTTTACTTTCTCGTATATACGAAGTAAAAGTCTTGTAACCGTGCAAAAAAATAAAATCGAGATTTTTGCAAATCTCGACGTTTTACACCTCACTGATACGGGAAAACATAATTTTGCAATCTTGTCTGTGTGTCTGTAAGGGGTCATCCATAAATGACGTCACGCTTTTTTTGACGATTTTTACCTCCCCCCTCCCCTCCGTCACACGTCGTCACAAAAAGCCAGACCCCCCCCTAAAATGACGTCACACCTCAACCTACAACCCCCCTCAAAATTGCAGTTGATTTTTTTAAAAACATCGATATTTTTCCAAAATCTTGTCTAAACTATTACAATTTATTAAAACAGTTATATAAAACGCGAAATAACGTCTAAAATTCGTTTTCTAACATTGCTTTTTTATAATGCAAAAATGTGACGTCGCAACATCTGACCCCCCTCCCCCTCATCACACATCGTCACAAAATTACGGACCCCCCCCTCCCCCCTACGAGTGTGACGTCATTTATGGATGACCCCTAAACACGATAACCTGAGTACCGCTACAGCTAGGTCAGCTAGGTAGATAAAATTTCATACATAAGTATTTTATCAAAATCGTAGATCCGTATCAACCTTTGAGCGATTTCCAATAACCGGAAGTGGTACTTTTTTTACTTTGAATTTTCAAAAGCCTATAACTTGAGTAATGTTTCAGATAGATAAATGAAATTTCACACGTAAGTGAAATATCTAATTTTCTACCTTCTGTCAAATTTTGAGTAATTGCCGTTGACCGGAAGTACTAATTTACGCTATTTCCGATTTCTCAAAAGACTAATGTAAATTTATAAAGTACTAATAACTTTGCGCACTATTATGCACATTTTATTTGGCGTTCACTGGTGTGCAATTCTTTTTTCTACGAGATTTTATTCTATTTTAAAAAGTTTAAGCATTTAAAATGGATTAAAATTTATGTCTATATCCCGAGTTCCCATCCCCTGTTTTTTTATATAAGAATATTCGACAAAGTTTAGGGGAGATCGATCCCGGTTAATTTTTTTTTTTTCTTTTTAATGACATGGTCCATTAAAAAAAATCAATAAAAAGTAATGAAATTATATTTCAACAAAAATTTTAGTTTTAAAATTTGTAATTAGAGCATCACGTGCCATTAATCGCTGACACGTCACACATGATAGAGTAGAGATCGGGGATCACGTGACACACTAGTTAAGATTGCAATTAGAGATGGAAATCTGTTGCAGGAAGCTTAATTGGCTAATAATTAAATGCTATCGAGGCTTATAAGCGATTAAAAAAAGGAGCTTTAAGTATTTTAAATTCAGCTCGAAAATGATCTGTTGTATTTGATGATACGACTAAGTTTTAATCTTATTATGTCGTGGTTTCAGAGAATGTTTTAGTCAATCGATTTAAGAGCTTGAGTACAATATAAAGGAAAAGTAATTTATTATTTGAATGAGTAGTGTTAAAGAGCTGGATAGTACGGGGGTGGCGATGGATAACGTCGGAGCATTGCAAAAGGGGGGGGGGGGGGGCACAATCCACGCCCCAAAGGTTAACACTGCTACAAACGTAGTTAAATAAAGAGCGACAACAACTGGGATTAGGATGACACCAAACTTTTTTATTACCAGTTCAACATAAACATATCGGGTGGGGGTAAGGGGTCACGCCCTGAATTACTTCACCCGGGTCTCAAACGGCCTAGGGACGCCAAATTTTAAATTACCCAATAAAAAACATAAAATGTATAGATGTATTTAAAAAAAAATTAAAAGTTTTTAAAAATTAAAATGGTTTTCATTATTGAAATGTCTAAAAGGGTACTCATTTTACAGAAACCCCCATTAGACAATAGCGTGGAACCACATTTAAAAACTACATAATAATTAATTGTATATTGATGAAACATTGCACACACATACTGAGGGGAGGCATCCATTAGGGTTTGTAGAAGCTTGTTGCATAACACAAGCAATGGACGGAAATCTGCATGTAAAAAACTATCAGCAGACGTGTACTGTTGAATCATTCATACGCCAATAAAGTTATAAATAGAATAGGGAGGTTTTTCTGCACTCTTGTGTCAAATAACCCAAGTAATGAACATGACCTATACAGATAACATAACCCAAGTAGATTACATGACTTAAGAATATATTATAACCCATGTAAATGACATGAATCCATGTAGATTGCATGACCAATTAATATTCAAATTAATGTTACATGACCAGCGTGGATTACATTCAAATTAATGCTACATGACCCAGTGTATATGGGTCTACATGACCCGTGGAGATTACTTGTCTTTAGTGTTGCTTCCAGACTTTTTTCTCCGGGAGGCACTTGAAATTTTCGGGGGGGGGGGGGGGGGGGCAGTAGACTTTGATATTATTTGATATTGTCCTTTGATATTAGTCTAATACATGGATACAGCTCCTTATGTTGCCCTTTGATATTAGTCTCATCCATGGATACAGCCCTTATCTTGCCCTTTGATATTAGTCTAATACCTGGATACAGCCCCTTATGTTGTCTTTTGATATTAGTGTCATCCATGGATACAGCTCCTTATGTTGCCCTTTGATATTAGTCTCATCCATGGATACAGCCCCTTATGTTGTCCTTTGATATTAGTCTAATACCTGGATACAGCTCCTTATCTTGCCCTTTGATATTAGTCTCATCCATGGATACAGCCCCTTATGTTGCCCTTTGATATTAGTCTCATCCATGGATACAGCCCCTTATGTTGTCCTTTGATATTAGTCTAATACCTGGATACAGCTCCTTATCTTGCCCTTTGATATTAGTCTCATCCATGGATACAGCCCCTTATGTTGCCCTTTGATATTAGTCTCATCCATGGATACAGCCCCTTATGTTGTCCTTTGATATTAGTCTAATACCTGGATACAGCTCCTTATCTTGCCCTTTGATATTAGTCTAATACCTGGATACAGCTCCTTATGTTGACATTTGATTACATGCCTCCATTTGTACAACACGACTTGAGCTATTTGGGTATAGGAGGTATATGCTCAGTCAGGTGGCCAAAGTTGGGGAACATTCAAGTGGCCAACATTTGCACACATAACTAAAATCATATGCTAGTAAATGACCCAACATTTGCACACATAACTAAAATCTTGTGCTAGTGAATGACCCAACATTTGCACACATAACTAAAATCATGTGCTAGTGAATGACCCAGCATTTGCACACATAATTAAAATCATGTGCTAGTGAATGACCCAACATTTGCACACATAACTAAAATCATGTGCTAGTGAATGACCCAACATTTGCACACATAACTAAAATCATGTGCTAGTGAATGACCCAACATTTGCACACATAACTAAAATCATGTGCTAGTGAATGACCCAACATTTGCACACATAACTAAAATCACCTCTGTGAATATTGTTTTTGCAATTACCAGTAAAAAGTGTATGAGCAATACAGTGATCTAACCCATTCCTTCTCATTATGTGAAAAAATTAACTTTAAAGAACACCAAAAGTCAATAGCTAATTAAAAACTGCATGCACTGAAATGTAAGACCGTTATTTTAGTTATTTGTAGGCTATTATTCCGATTGATTTACTTTTACATTGAAAAGCTTGCTTTATACAACTCTGATTATGCTGTAATACTTTAGCATTTATGATTGTAGACAAAATATTTTTGGAAAAACGAATAGTGTTTAGCTACTTTATAAGATTTTAAAGTAATTATCTATATGATGGCAACAGTTTTTAACCCTTTCTTTTGCCATAAAAAAACTACGAATTATTCCACTCAAAAACATGAATATTCTAAAACGTCGCGTCTTTCGTCTTTCTTACATCCTAATTAGTGTGTTTAAATGGTCTAGGTGTACGATTAGGCACTAACTTTAAAAAAAAATCCCATAGACTATATTCTATAAAAAAAAGCTTACACACAGACACACACACACAGGCGCACACACGCGCACACACACACACACGCATACACACACACACACACACACACACACACACACATATATATATATATATATATATATATATATATATATATATATATATATATATATATATATATATATATATATATATATATATATATATATATATATATATATATATATATATATATATATATATATATATATATATATATATATATAAACATCATAAGCACGTATTTGTGTATTCCGCTTCTCGCTCGAATACGATACGTATTTCTTTGTTTCAGACTTTTTTCACTTGATGTGTGCGTGTGTGTGTGTGGCGGGGTGGAGGGGGGGGGGGGGCTAAAGTTTCGGTTGGGGGGGGGAAGCGGACATTGATAAAAGTATTTACTTTCTATTTAAATTCTTTTTCGTTCGAGGGTGGGGGCGGTAGACGAAGAGATGCACGAAAGAAACACTCTACCCCCTATGTCCCACCTCTCATGTACCAAGACCTATCACACCTTCGATTTAAATTTGAATACAAAATAACTGCAGTTTTAAATACTTAATTTACACCTTTAAAGCTATCTTAAAGCCCGTGTTCAGGATATGTTTCTACCAATGACAACACATTAAGTGACCCTTGTTAACCCAGTGGCGTAGCGAGGTCGGGTGTCACCCGGTGCGGCACTTAATGGTGTCACCCCCCAGAGGCATAGCGACCCTTCCCGGGGACAAACTTTCAAATTTTCGATTTGCACCCCCCCCCCTCAAATTTTCGATTTGCACCCCCCCCCCCCCTCAAACTCTCGATTTGCACACCCCCCCTCAAGTTTTTCTCTCTATATTTTTCTATTTTTTGCCTTGGTATCACCCCCCCCCCCCTAAATGGTGTCACCCGGTGAAGTCCGCACCCCCCCCCCCTCGCTACGCCTCTGTGTTAACCCATGGTTTGGACGTGGAGTTTCTCTACCTGACTGTACCTTCATTACCGCTGGTCTAGTCACCAAGCCTCGAGACACAAATCTAGCACAAGGATATTGTCTTAGTGTCACAAATCACTGTCACCAGACAATGTTCACTCATTTGTCCTTGTCTACTGACGGGTGGGGCTGCCCCTGCCGGTGGTCACCTGACTATATAAGGGACACCACTCGTGTCACATATAGAAACATCCAGCTAAATTAACTCCCATTGTGTTACTGGTCACCTTCTGGTGAGGATATATACCAAGACACGAAGGTAAGTTCTCACGTGATGCATTAAGGTGATATACATAGGTCAATATAGATGTATAATAAATAAAATCAAACTTTACAAAAACGTTTTAAAAAAATCAACATGTACAATGTTAGATCAAGGTATTTGTGATTGGTTACTAAACCAAGATGTTGAATCCATTTTCAAATTGTTTCCATTCCATGTATTGAATGTTCACCTCGCACATCGGCGAGTGAATAAAATAATAATGTGCAGTATTTTTTTTATAAGCATCGCATTTTTAAAATTAGTTGTATAATTTGTCAGTGACATACGCGAAAGTTATTTAGTAAGGTCTATTCTCTACGCGCAGGTTTATCAACCAGATACTGTAACCGCAAGGATATGAGTTAGATAATATAATTTCAAATCCAAAGTTATACCCCCACACACACAAAAAAAAGCAAGAGCGCCAACAAACAAAAAATGTATACATCACCCCCTTCATTGGCCACCACCAATTTCACCATGCTTAAAGTTAAACACATCCTTAAAATAAAAAGTTTGCAGTGTTTATCAGAAAGATTAAATGATGGTGCCTCTTATATACAATTTATGTAGAAAATATATACTTTAATCACTGTGCGCGACTCCCCTCCCCCCGGGAGCTTGAACTGCCCCACCCCGCCCGGGGGAAAATGTCTAAAATAAACCCTGCATTAAAAGTCTTCAATCATGGGCGTTCTGTTTTCTTGCTAAATTTATTTCAGCAATTTTTAACCAAATCTAATCCTAATGCTTTTAATTCGCGGCAATTAGTTTATACCCATGTTAACATTGTCAGGGCGACAGTGTGCTGTTCCACTATGGAAGGGTGGGGGGGGGGTGTCGTCCGTAAATGACCTCACGCTGTTTGGTACGATTTATACCTCCCCCTTTGGAGCGTGACGCCATTTATGGACAAACACTAAGGCTGCATTGCCTGGCACTGTGTTCTTCACTCTAACAGGCTGAGTCTTTAAACTTTAAATCCCCATCTATCTAGGCCCGAAATATAGAGACTGACAATAACTATCAACTGGGATTTAGAGTTTCTTCCAGGCATCTCTTCGAAAGTCTACCCCCCCCCCCCCCCCCGGAAAATGTTGACCTCCCCCCCTCCCGAAAATATCAAGTGCCCCCCCCCCCCCCATCCCCTGGAGAAAAAAGTCTGGAAGAAACACTGCTGGGATTATTTACTGAATTATTTAAGTTTCTTCATAAAAAAAAACCTTTTTTCACATAAATAATGATATACCCATACAGCAGGTACGGGCCGAACTAATGAGAACTTTTGTGTTTCCTCAGATGAAGACTTCCAGCATGATTTTGGTCGCCGCTGTGTGCATGTCGCTTTTATTTTCTGTACAAGGTAAACAATACATAGTTCTACACAAAGTTTAAGTTTTAGAGTACTTACAATGGCAAATTATCTTCTGTTTAAAAGTTTAGATGGTTTGTTATTAACATTCTAAATGAGCACAGTATTATACTCCGTTTCGAAAAAGATCGGAGATCAGTAAACACTTTACAATTAATGAACAACGCAACACGTTTTAAATAAAAGTGCGCGGTCCAAAGCCGTCGTTTACAAAATATTCCCGACAAAATGACCCTGACGAAATTGACCCGATAAATCGCCGACGTCGAAAAGGCTTACGATAAAAATTCCCGTACCGTCAGTACGGAAACCGAGAGTTGAGCTCACGACAGTAAGGCTTCATTAATGCGGCTACAGACATTACTGCTACAGACATCAGTACCCCAGACGTTAGTACTCAAGATAAAAGGGTCCACGACAATGTAACTCTGGTCAACAACTACCCGCTAACGTCACTATTAATACGGCGTAATGCGAAGTTTTTTGGTCTGGGCTTATATGATGAGGTTATTTTACCGGAAACCAATCAGTTGGCCGTTTTGTCGGGGGTGTTCTATAATGGGCCGTTTTGATAGGGCACCATAAACTATCAGAATAAAAGAGAAATTATCGGCCACTTTTGTAAAAACAGAAACTTAAGTTTTGTTATTAGTTATTGAAAAAAAAAACATTTTTGTATTGTATATGTTGAGTATGTTTAAATAACTAGTCTATTCACAAAAAAATGGACAAATAATGACGACAAAAAGCAGGTCAACCATCAGTTTATACAACACAGTCTTGTTTTGTCATATACTGTAGGGGCCAGAGTGTCGACATATTCTTCTTGATTCTTTAATACTTTTTAATAAGATCTTATTTTGCTCATTATGAATACAAGGGGAACTAACTACTATTTCTATTCTCCCAGCCCAGTATGACCAGATGTTCCCATGGCTACTGTTAAGCTCCATGTCAGGCGGCCAGGGTCAGGGGGGAGGTTTCGGCTCCCTCATGCCATGGCTCCTCATGTCTGGGGGTAACGACCAGGTGCGGAGTCTCTTCCCTACCCTCATGCTCAGCCGAGCGCTTTTTGGAGGTCAAGGCCAAGGTCAAGGCGCTTATTGATTATGTAAAAAAACGTGATAAACCTCATCTGTTCACACATCCCCCCTCCCCTACTCCACACTTTGGTGTTTGTTTAAAACTTTACACTGCATTCATACCCAACACAACTCATGTTGAGCTTTGCCATAGACTACCATTGTATAAAAACGAAATCACAAATATATTTGACATGTAAATATATAACATATCACATCTTTACTTTGTTTGATGGTACATTTGATTCCTCAGGTTACGTAACACCTGATCAATATTGGTCGTCAATATCAAACTGTTCGCAGGTTGTTATTAAAATCTATTATAAAAAAAATGTATTCCTGCTTTTTAACAATTATATTGTTGGTCTGTTTTTAATTTTTTTTTGCTCGGTTGTTATTAGTGGCGGTGGCGTAGCCAGAATCGTCTCAAGGGGGGGGGGGGGGGTTCCAATTTTTACCCGGGAACAAAAATTTCGATTTGCACCCCCCCTCAAACTTTTGATTTGCACCCCCCCCCCTCAAACTTTCGATTTGCACCCCCCCCCTCAAACTTTCGATTTGCACCCCTCCCCCTCATACTTTTTATATATATACCGAGGTGGTATAGTGGTTTTTCAATAGTTTAAGTGTTTACAATTAAATATGAACTAACATATGCAGTTTTATTAATCGGACAATCATTTTTGTTTAAAATAAATGCAAAAGCTGTCTTAGATCTTTGATGTTAAATGTCACTTTGAGAGTAAGGACACTCAAAATAGTCTTTGATACAAAGACGCTAAAGATAATCTTTGATACAATGGCGCTAAAGATCATCTTGATACAATGACGCTAAAGATAATGTTTTATACAAATTTAACTCAACCCGGGAACCTGACGCAAGTGGGAGAGAGTAACGGCGCAGTAGCGTAGCGAGGGGGAGGGGGGGGGGGACATATGTCCCCGGGCGCCGACCTTAGGGGGCGCAAAATGGGTTGGAAAAATAAATTGAAAGGTTGAGGGGGGTGCAAATCGAAAGTTTGAGGGGGGTGCAAATCGAAATCTTGAGGGGGGGGGGGTGCAAATCGAAAGTTTGAGGGGGGGGTGCAAATCGACATCTCGAGGGGGGTGCAAATCGAAAAGTTTGTCCCCGGGCGCCGGGAAGGGTCGCTACGCCTCTGTAACGGCGGATGTCAAAGTGCTGCCAACACTATTCGTTATATGTTCAATTCAGAGAAACAGATGAACTCTACTACATCTGTCTTAAAGCGCCCCTGATCATGGAGGGCGATTTACAATTTATTTTCATATGCTTGGACTTGGACTTCTGTCATTTCAAAAACAGAGTCATGGAGTTTTGGATTCGGTTCCATTATTTTTTTCTGATTGACTTTTCATTAAAATGATTTCCGCTATGCTTAGAATAAAAAAATACACCACCCCGCTCCACAATATAAGCAACTGCACACGTCCACACACACGCACGCGACACACGCATACATATACAATAAACTAAAAACCAGTGGTGTTATATCCATACTAGGTCAAGTTGTTGGCGATGAAGTGCTCGCGTCTCTTTCAACTTCAAAATTTTGATAATCCTAAAACAACTATTTTACATACTTAAATCCTTTAGGAATATATCAGTAAACATACCAAGGCAGTATTTACAATGTATAGAGCACATGAATTGAAACAAATTATTTGTTTACCTATACTAGGAATGTCTTTTAAATCAAATGTAGTTTTCTTTACAGTAGTTATATTTAGTTAGGTGTTCAAACTAAGGTTACAAGGAACTAAGTCGTCGACACAGGCAGATACTGAATGAAACAAACCAACAAAACCATGTAAATATTTCCCTAACAGTAGGTATAGAATCCACAACTGGCTTGAAACTTGCCAAAACCAGCAAAGTTATTTATTTAAAAAAATGATTTCATAAAATACCTTCTGTTATAACATTCAAGTTACTGATACCAGAAGAAGTCAAGATTATGTATGTGAAAGTGCAGCCTAAGTTGGTTGCAATTTAAAATTTTTTTTAATTTCAAATGGTAGAAAACCCAGATTAGCGTTCAAGTCGGAATGAAGAAACTTGAACATACATATCGTGCGCTTGAGGCTTGAGTTGAATGCTACATTAAAATCCAGTTTCCAGTGGGGCACTCAATCGTCTACTACTGTATGTCATGTCGATATTAAAACATTCTTCTATTGTAACTCTTTTGTGAGCTTTTTTTGGACTTCACCGACCCTAGCCTTGACCTATTTAGTCTGACGAGAAATAAACAACTCTTAGGGAACATTATGTAAAAAATAAAGTTAAGTAACCCTTTCTGACCGAATGATCCAAATGCAGATAAAGTATAGGATGAGATGGCGCGGTCAGCATTATGCCCAGCCTCCTTTACTTTCGAGAACTCGGGTACCCATCAGAACTTGGTGGACTCATGAATGTCCCACCAACTCGAGTAGTGGACTATCAGAGCTGGGTGAACTCATGAATGTCCCACAAACTCGGGTACCTATTAGAGCTGGATGGACTCATGAATGTCCTACCACCCCCTACTTTCTTAAGTTATAGTAGGTTAATAATGTGCGCTAAACGTCAAGATGTATGACGCTGACATCAACTCACGTATGGTGACCTGTTGTTTATGTTTATGTCATGGTAGAATGCATACATTATGAGGCGGCAGTAAATAAAATATGAGGGAGAAGGAGGAGGGGGTAAACAAGGTGTACCACCCAAAGTGATGTATACACTTCTAACATTGTTGACATTCTCACAGTCACCTGACCTATTATGGAGTCATAACGCTTGTTTAGAAAAAAACTGGAGTTGAATACAAATATCTTTAGTAGTCCAGCATTTGCAGGTAGGTTATTTTATTATTTAAACAGTAGCGAAATGTACAATTTATTCCTTTTTTTCCTGTGTCAAAATATTATTGTCATGACCCCCCACCCCATTAAAAAAATAACAAAACACAACAAACAACATAAAACAACAAGAAAACAGAATATTCTCGAATGTTTTAAATCACGTTTAGTTAAAGCAAGGAAAAATGACTGCACTGTCTACTGGTTGGTACTAACCTAGTTTAAGTGCAGTGACCTTAGTGTGACTTAAGTTTCACCTTCAGTTAAAATCTGTCACATCTGTCAGTCATAGAAAATTAATTTTCTCCAACTTTTTAAACCACCCCTAACACGCATACAGTAACATGGGCGGTTTGATAGACGCATTATTTGTTATATGTATGATATCAGGTGACAAGTGAGCCAATACAACTGTTTTAATTACATAATTCATAAGCGCAAATTGTGGCTATATGTCATGCCGACTAATAAGCTTCAATCTCCACCGAGGTACGTAAAACTTCGATATAAGTCTATACAGTACGGTATTAGGCAAAACGCGGGTTAATGCATGTCAACGGTTAGCTTGACTGAATGTGCTAAAAAAACAAAGAGAACGTCTCCGTTGGCTGTTTCTAGAAAATACGATTACATTGTATTATTAAAACTACACAAGTTGTATTTGATAGATGTAGGTGATTAGCCATTACTGAGTGAGAGAGAACATGAAAATTGATTGTTGCAACATAATGAAAATTCTAGTGAACGGAAACAGGTTTTCAGTAAGTTTTTCTGGTTTAGAAGAGAGGGTGGAGGGTGGTGGAGTTAGTAGTGTCGACATTGTATAGGTGGTCGTGTAACGGCATGTAACGAACGGCTGGGGTAGGGTGTAGTGCCTGCTATAGTCGACTGTGGCGCCATCTGTAGACTCCTGCACCCGTGAATTTCTAATCTGAACATGACTCGAAGTTTCCAAACTTGAGATTCTAAACTGGAGACCACGATTTCTTTTAGATATCTCCACAGATCTCGTCCACCACCACCCACCCTCCCTAATTAGAATATTAAATATATACTTTAATTGAACCCCCTAGCGGGGTTTAAAATTCCCCCTCCCCCTGTAGAAAAATTTCTAGAAAAATTCCTGCTCCAGAATTCCTAGCTTGGAACTTGAACTAGGAACTTTGGAACAACTAATATTTTGTGTTCCTGGACTTATTGGTCCAGTGTTTCACTAAATTAACTGCGCCCAGACAGTAGCGTAGCGAGGGGGGGGGGGGGACATATGTCCCCGGGCGCCGACCCTAGGGGGCGCCAAAATGGGTTGGAAAAATAAATTGAAAGGTTGAGAGGGGTGCAAATTGAAAGTTTGAGGAGGGGGGTGTGCAAATCGAAAGTTTGAGAGGGGGGGGGGGTGCAAATCGAAAGTTTGAGAGGGGGGTGCAAATCGACAAGTTTGAGGAGGGGGGTGTGCAAATCGAAATTTTGAGTGGCGGGGTGCAAATCGAAAGTTTGAGAGGGGGGGGGGGTGCGAATCGACAAGTTTGTCCCCGGGCGCCGGGAAGGGTCGCTACGCCTCTGCGCCCAGATGAGCACTTAACCTCGTGTATTACAGGAAATGGAGCCAGCCTGAAGAGTATGACACTAACAACAGTCCCAGCCAGCCTGAAGAGTATGACACTAACAACAGTCCCAGTCAGCCTGAAGAGTATGACACTAACAACAGTCCCAGTCAGCCTGAAGAGTATGACACTAACAACAGTCCCAGTCAGCCTGAAGAGTATGACACTAACAACAGTCCCAGTCAGCCTGAAGAGTATGACACTAACAACAGTCCCAGCCAGACTGAAAAGTATGACACTAACAACAGTCCCAGCCAGACTGAAGAGTATGACACTAACAACAGTCCCAGCCAGACTGAAGAGTATGACACTAACAACAGTCCCAGCCAGCCTGAAGAGTATGACACTAACAACAGTCCCAGTCAGCCTGAAGAGTATGACACTAACAACAGTCCCAGCCAGACTGAAGAGTATGACACTAACAACAGTCCCAGCCAGACTGAAGAGTATGACACTAACAACAGTCCCAGCCAGCCTGAAGAGTATGACACTAACAACAGTCCCAGCCAGACTGAAGAGTATGACACTAACAACAGTCCCAGCCAGCCTGAAGAGTATGACACTAACAACAGTCCCAGCCAGACTGAAGAGTATGACACTAACAACAGTGCCAGCCAGACTGAAGAGTATGACACTAACAACAGTCCCAGCCAGACTGAAGAGTATGACACTAACAACAGTCCCAGCCAGACTGAAGAGTATGACACCAACAACAGTCCCAGGCGTTTGATCTATTTCCGTGTCACCCTTGTTACTAAAGACGTCCACACGACATTAATAACTCAAGAGGAAACGCGCATCTCGTTTCCTGATTGGACAGTTAAAAATAAACCTGGGGTTTACGTTACTGGAAAATTAGCCAACAGTTTCCCTGCAGTAAAGAGGTTATTTTTGTTGACAATTTTTATCGTGACTTAAAAACATGTTGATGTCATTTAATCTTTTGGTCAACTAGGAATTCACTGATGTAATATGTTCTACTTATCTCATGATGGTAATATTACGTCAGATCCTAATCAGGTTATGTAAAGAACAAAGGGAAATAAACATGTTTACTTGTAGCGATGCACTCATGTTTGATTTGTTTACTAACACTAAACACCATATTGTCTTGTCAAGTAGGGGAGGTAACGATGTTTTGTGTCTTACAAGGGAAATAACTCCCTTTCATCTAACATACATTAAGATGTAGGCAGTACTGTAGGAAAACCGTGAGATGGATTAGGCTGTCTTTAAGTGGGTCAATAGTTTACACTTTAAAAAATCTTCTTACGTAACGAGTGGGGCGTGACGGTGTAAACAGTAATTAGCACGTGATGTTAATTAAACTGTTTTATAAACTTGGCGTGACAGGCAAATAGTGTGTTGTATTGATACGGGTGGAGAAGTGCACACAATTTTGGAGGTTGTTGGTTATATGTAAACCTGCAGTAGGTTCGTGGCTCTGCTTGTAATCATTAGTTGATGAATGTAATAATAATAACTTTCTATGGTACAAGTTTATATGGTCATGTTTGTAAGTTTATAGGTTATATAGGGTAGACTAAATTGTTCATTACAAAGGTGTACATCCTATAAAAGAGAGAAGACGTTTTTCAGTAATATTTTGATTAAAAACTCCACATTTGACCGCGAATGAACATGCTAGGTATACTCAAGAACATGGTCGCTTATGAGAGTTATATGGGCTCTAGATCGGGACACTGAGACCTGTCGACATTAGGGTTTCTTTCAGACTTTTTTCTCAGAAGAGGGGGCTTTTGAAACTTTGGAAAGGGGAAGGGCGATTTAAGTATACAGTATTTATACAAATCATAACTTTTCGATTTCTCCCGGGAGGGGGGGGGGGGGCAGTGGACAGGCTCCGGGATGGGGCAAACCCCCCCCCCCCTGTAGAGATGCCTGTAAGAAACTCTGGTCTACAAGCGCAGACGACAGTGAAAGATGAAGTATCAAAGTGGACAACATCTGATCATCAAACCGCGAGTTGGACAGCCATGTTCTCGACTTTCACTCGACACGTTTATTTCTTGCGTTCCAGTTGTTCAATGTATTTTAAAACTAAAATAGCCGCCATGAGGCTATGCTTGATCACTGACTCAACAAAGGGACAAAAAAATCAAGGCAATAGCATTAACGCAACCGGTTAACATTGTTTTATAAAAAAAAATATTTCTTGCGTACATTTTAATTTGTTCAATGTATTCTTAAACTAATGTGGCGGCTATGTAGGTAATTCTAAACATCGACTCAAGAACATAAACAAAGAGAAAAAAAAACCAAGGACATAACAAGGACTCTACTGGTTAAAATTGTTTTATTATAAAAATAAAAAGACATGAGTTTGAGGTTATAGACCTTTAACCTACGTTTGGTATGTGTGAAAAAAAAACTAGCTTCAAGATTAAACCGCCATCTATTATGCAAATCAGTTAAATATTTTACCCAGCAGATTTAGAGATTATGTTGTAAGATCTCAAGCAGACCACGTGAGGCGTCTTAAGCTGGCATTCAAAGACTCCAGGATTACCGTCATCATCTTAAGGCTGTCGTCTGCTGACATAGGTCATCCCCTGGTGATCAGGACTGAAACACCAGACGGACATAAATAATAACCATAGCAACACTCGTCAAACTGACGGAAGAGTTGCTGAGAAATTTGGCGAGGTCACAAGACTTGAGATTTTTAAATCTTTTGCTCCATGTTTTAACATCCAGCTATTATTTAGTAAGTTGTATGTCGCATAGCAACATTAATTTGGAGTTTATAATTAAATTAACATTTACGGTTACACTCGCAGTGCTTTCATATTTTTACTACATTGTACAATATACTAATACGGGATGGCGTAGACCTGAGTTAGAACTCACTGTTATTTACCCATTTTGGCACCCTCGTTCGTATTGATGCCTAGGACGCCCCCCCCCCCCCCCCCTCAACACACCCGCTAGTTACGCCTCTACATAACAATGGCCTTCACTTGTTTCGCTAGACATGGGGAGAAGTGATCTAACTCACTACAATTATAATTCTTGTTAACAGCTTTTGTAAACAAGGTACCGCAAGCTAAAAGTATTATGTTTCTGTCACATAAAATACGCCAGTTCATCTTTTTGTGATTACAGCTGCCACCTAAATATGTTTGTTAATCTTTTTGTGATTGTTGCTGTCATGTAAATATCTTTGTTAATCTTTTTGTGCATGTTACATCTCAGTGAAAAGAAATAAAACTGTTTTGTGGACAGACGGCATGAAATATACGCCTACACTCATCAACGATGATAAACGTCAAACATGACATGACAAATGTGGGGGAGGAAATTCTACCATCAAGTTAAAGGGACAAACTAACAAACTAGAGGTACATGATGAAAGATCTAGTTAACGGGACGAACTAAAGGTACATGGTGGAACAACTAGCATGTAGTTCACCAGACAAGCACGATATTTTAAAATAATGTTTATCTACAAGATGACGTTTGTAAGTGTCAAATATTTGTTCAACTGATAAAGCTTTATACAAGTGATGATGAGTGTTAGATTGGACTGAGATTTATCGTGTTTTATCTAGCTGCTTGCAAGTACGCGTCTAATGTCTTAATGAATATTTAACAAGCAGTGATGAATGAAAGAGTTAGATCGACGGAGATGTATCCTGTCTCCTATGACTGCTTGCTAGTTCAACTCTAATGTCTTGAAGAACAGTTAAAACGGAGCACTTAAAATTTGAAAAATGTTTAAAGATGAATAATTTAGAACCTGATTATTAAAATAAATGTACTTTTGAGACTGTACACATGTTTTCCCCCGGATTATTTAAGACTACAAGTGGTGTGTTTTTTAAAGAGCAAAGATTATATTTAACCACAGGAGCAAAGATTATATTTAACAACAAGAGCAAAGATTATGTTTAACCACAAGAGCAAAGATTATATTTAATCACAAGAGCAACAATTATATTTAACCATAAGTTAAACCAACTTTAGACTAACTTTGTTTTACTTTTTGTCAACTATTTAAATGTAATTCGAAATAACAATACGACACGTGTTTAATCTAAACTTTAGATATAATAGGCCCATATACCAAAAAGGTTGATACTGAACAATATACTTCATATAATATATACCAAGCAGGTGAAGCTCAGTATGACCTCTATTGCCATCCTATGTTGACATTGACGAATGGTACTCAGGTTTCTAGTTATATTCCCAGCAGTTAGCAATCTGAACTTCAGTCAGCCTTTATTATCATCATTTGTTTCGTCGATTTCGGGAAATTCCAAAAACAGATATATCAACAATGTTATTTAAAACAAGATATTTTGTTTAATTAAATGATATACTGATTTCTAAATAATTATAAAGTTTATTCTCAATTATGTTGAAATTTTATCTTAATACCAATTAGCAGTGTCAAGTATAAAAATGAATGGGGTATGATGGTATTACAAGAGTTCAGGAGGAGGCTGAAAACATAAGAAGAAATGGGGAACAGCTGAAAAGAGTGGCAGCAGACAGTGAAGTGAGGACAGATTTAGAGGCCCTATGCTGCGTAAGGTACGAAAACGAACGTGTTGATGGTTTTCATTACGAAGGTATTGAGTTGGTAAATTTAGCAGCCTTGAAACATTGTATACACACTTGCCAGACCCGAAAACTTTTTGTTGCCATTATGTAAAGTAGCCGTCCCGGCAAGGCCATACACTGGCCTTTATAAAAAGCGCATCTGTAAAGGACCTGACTTGTGTGTTTATTAAGCGGCAAATACCGTGCGCTGCCCGGGTTCGGAAATACATATATTAAGTTTCCGATTAAATGTCCAATTAAATATTTTGAAAAGATATATAAATAAAATTCAACCTAATCTAAACCAGCCACAACAACCACAAACACTAATAAGAAAAACCAAAAAAAACAAAAAAAAACCAGACAGACAGACAGACAGGCAGACAGACAGACAGACAGATAGACAGACAGACAGGCAGGCAGGCAGGCTAGGCAGGCTAGGCAGACAGACAGACAGACAGACAGACAGACAGACAGACAGACAGACAGACAGACGGACGGACGGACGGACGGACGGACGGACGGACGGACGGACGGACGGACGGACGGACGGACGGACGGACAGACAGACAGACAGACAGACAGACAGACAGACAGACAGACAGACAGACAGACTAACAGACAGACTAACAGACAGACAGAAAGACAGAAAGACAGACAGACAGAAAGACAGAAAGACAGAAAGACAGAAAGACAGAAAGACAGAAAGACAGAAAGACAGAAAGACAGAAAGACAGAAAGACAGAAAGACAGAAAGACAGACAGAAAGACAGAAAGACAGAAAGACAGAAAGACAAAAAGACAGAAAGACAGAAAGACAGACAGACAGACACAAAGATACAAAGACACAAAGACACAAAGACAGAAAGACAGACACGCAGACAGACAGACAGACAGACAGAGAGACAGAAGAAGCAAGTTCAATAAAAGCTTGAAATAAAATCTTGTAAAAATGGCAATTAGCTGAATGTCAAAAAAGTTGAAATGTCTTAAGTTCTAGTAGAATTTTTGTTGTTTTCTTTGGATTTGCAGTTTATTAGTTTGTTGTATTGTACTTTATTTTAGTTTTGTTAGTATTATATATTATACTTTTAAGTTAGGACTAACTTATTTCATTTGTTTGGGTTTATTGATAACGAAGGTACTTCTGACGCTAAGATAGTCACACAGCCAACATTAATACAGATCGATGCTTTCACTTCAGTCACTCTACAAAAGACACTAAATTGGCTAACATTTGGAACAAAGTCACTCTACAAAAGAAACACTAAATTGGCCAACATTTGGAACAAAGTCACTCTACAAAAGACACACTAAATTGGCCAACATTTGGAACAAACTCACTCTAC